TGTTATTAGGAATAATTGTTAAAACATAATAATTTGTCATATGGTGAATGTTTATATGGATTTATTGGTTTAGAAATTAAATCAATTAAACTGTTGTGTTTTTGTCTTCTAGTGAGGTAAATACAGAGGGTATCTTAATGCATAGCAGGGATAATATGGCCTAGCATGGTGTGAACCTAAATAAATAAAAGTAACGAATTATGAACGGGCTGAATATGAATATCAGAGGCGTTACGTTTTTGTAAAATACAATTTCCACACGCAACTGGTCTACAACAACCAATCGAAGATATCAAAGGATTTTTTTCTCATGTTTTATATATCGAAGGAGTGCGAAAGGAGTTCACCATTGAGTGAGAATGGAGAAAGATCTGTTCAAATACATGTTGTTGGTAATAATGGTTGGCAAATGGAGAAGTCAATGAGGTTGTGGAGTTGGCGGTGAATAGAATGAGACATTGTAGTTGTGACATTGTTAATGGGCAAGTCATTTTTGAACTATGAAGATGTCTGAAGAACATAATGAAGAGACGCCAGAAGATTTAAGTGCCGGTGGAGAAAAAGGGGTTGCTTAGCTGTATTGATGATAAAATTGGGTTTATTTAAATTTGCTAATTTGGGTAGTAGGTATATACACTGGTAAATTAATAGTATTAAGAATGCATTGAGATAATGATCTGTATTTATTATCAGGATGAGGAAGGTCATAATTGAATTATGAATGTTTTTATAATGTATGTTAATATAAGTAGACATTCTGAAAGTTGTAATGGGTGATTTAAATTGAGGGTTTTAATTTTCAGTGATAAGGATAAAGTGAATAAGGATTGTCATTTTAAATTTGGTTGAGTTAAGTAATTTGGTTGGTGATAAGTTATAAGTTAAGGTGAGGATTGTGAATGAAATCATGAATATGTTGATTTAATTGGGTTAATGTATTAGCATATTAGTCATTATATACATTTGGAGTATTGGGTGATATTGATATGGATGTTTAGAGTGGTAAATATCCATGTAGATAGGCAAGTACTTAATTGGTTATTATCATGGGGTTATGATATTTTCATATGATCTGAATTTGGTTGAATTATTAAAGCAGGAATAGTCTAGGGATGTGATGATTTAACAGGGAGTGATAATAGAGTGTTATAATGTGTATGTTATATTTGAGGTATATTAGGAGGACAAAGTCGGAGTTTAACATTTGTATATTTTAACAATCATGGGTTGTAAGCAATTGGGTTTGAGATGTTAATCATTAGAATGTGTAATTGATAATCACATAGCATTGGATGCTATTATATTAAGACTCATAGGATGATATGGTAATTTGAATGCTGTTGAAGTCTTTTCAAAGTTTTTTTTAGTGTTAATTCAATAGGAACATGGATGGCAAGCATTCTAGGTCCCCTAGTGGCCATAGTAATTATTGTAGCAATAGTTATGGGGTGTTGTTTTAAAAACATTTCGGGGATGGAGTTTCGTCTGTACAAACGATTCTAACATGCCCTTATTACGCTAAATAGGTGTCGTTCTGTTAATGCAAGGAGGGGAGAGACTAATTCTTCTTCCTTTGTCCATCTTGTTCCAGTTGAGATTCCATTGATAATGGTGATTGAAGACCAGGAAGGTATGTGGAACTGTATACAGGATTGACGGTTTACAGGATCTCTATGTGCATATGGATCATCTCAGTGGATCAATAGAGCCCCTTGTGGACCAGGAAAAACTTGGGGTTCCTCTGACGGCGCAGAAATGATGAAGACGGATGTTTTTGTTATTTTTTATATTCATATGTATAGATTATAATATCCATGTAACTTAGTAATGAGTATGTATAATTGTTGTGTATTGTTGATGTCATTATGTTAACAATTTATTTCTATGTATGTTTCTTTGGGGGTTGCATGTCTCAGAAAATGGGGTCATTTTAAAAAAGGGTGGATGTCTATGTGGGATTTTTTCCTTATATATATATAAATAAAGTTTTGACTACATAGATTATTAGCATGAATATTTAGTAGTTAATTATGTGTTTATCTTTTCCTCAGACTGAGTTTATAGAGGTTTGAGAGGTTTGATATCACATAAGATAGATGACTGAGAATGTATACCTTTGTTTATTAAATATATGGAGAATCAAGTTGGATTCAGGTATGAAAGGTGGAAAGGATCAATTCTCAGTTATCTAGCATAGTCTAGGATCTAGTCAGAGATATATGTACTACTGATTGGAGAATATGGCCACCCACGGGCCGTTTGCTATGTGAACCCGGTACCGCAATATGAAATACTTTGAATTAACTCTCCATGTAGGTGCTTAAGTATCTTCTTGCATCCTGAATTACTCGATACCGGAAAACTCATCATAACACTTTGCAAAAAAATTGGGAAATTATGTTATTTTACACTAATACAATTGCTCAGAGAAAGATAACTACTTTTTTTTCTCAAAAGATAGGGTTCAAAATTATTGGCACCCCTGTTTTCAATACCTCACCTTGCGAGGATAACAGCACTGAGCCTTTTTCTAACATGTTTTATGAGATTGGAGAAACACATTGGAAATTCTTCATGTGAAGAAGGTTGATATTTTTACTTTTATAGCAATGGTGGTAAATAGCACAGCTTAAGTTGAAAATAAATCAAGAAAGTTTGACATCATTGTTTCTTCTGGTTGGTTCCTTGGATTAAAATATTTCATGTACTTTCTCGAGTGGCCCCATCCTCTCAGGCCCCAGAGCCTGAGTAGGGAGTTACGGATATTTTTGAATAACTGAAGGAGTGGGATGATATTTGTTACGTATTTAAAAACATATATATATTAGTGTGTGTGGATTAATGACTTTTTTCACTTATCCGTAATGGAATGTATTTTTTATTTATTTTATTTTTTACCCCCGTCCAGTTGGTGGCGGGAATACAACATTAGTTTTGGTAGCTACACCATAAATCCTTAGAGAATAGACTGGAACCGAATCAGTTCGTTGACAGGGCTGCCTGAGGAATGTAAACAATTCGGAAGATGGCGGAGGCGGATGTTTTGTTTGAATCAGATGGTGAGTCGAGTGGAGACGAGAGTGAGAAGGAATGGATTACAGTAAATATATATTATATATTTATATATAAAAATAAATAAAATATAAAATAAAATATATTTTATATTAAAAATAAAATAAAAAAGGAAAGAAGAGAAGAGAAGAAAAGTGGAGTCTAGTAAATCCAAGCCGAGTTCTGACTGTTCTTTAGTCCGAGTTTTGGATCGAAGAGATACCTGGCAGATCCGCTTCGAAGTCTCAACGAAAATCATAGATGCGTTAGATGAGGTGGCGTCAGGGAAAATAACAAGAAATGTGTTTACTTTGTTTTTTTTTGTATGTCCAAGGAGCAGAAGGAGCGTGCTTTGCACCTGAAAAAGATATCGGATTGGAATGTGTCTTGTGTGGATCTGCGAAGCAGGGCACCTATCAAGGGGGTTATCTCTGGAGTGGCGCTAGAAGTGAGTGCAAAGGATGAAACTGAAGAAATAGATGCAGTGGTTGTTGCTCCGCGACTAACCCGTATGGTGGATGGAGTGAGCATACTTACAAAATTGTGGCAAAATGGCTTAAGGACAACAAAGTCAAGGTATTGGAGTGGCCATCACAAAGCCCTGACCTCAATCCTATAGAAAATGTGTGGGCAGAACTGAAAAAGTGTGTGCGAGCAAGGAGGCCTACAAACCTGACTCAGTTACACCAGCTCTGTCAGGAGGAATGGGCCAAAATTCACCCAATTTATTGTGGGAAGCTTGTGGAAGGCTACCTGAAACGTTTGACCCAAGTTAAACAATTTAAAGGCAATGCTACCAAATACTAACTGAATGTATGTAAACTTCTGACCCCACTGGGAATGTGATGAAATAAATAAAAGCTTAAATAAATCGTTCTCTCTACTATTATTCTGACATTTCCCATTCTTAAAATAAAGTGGTGATCCTAACTGACCTAAGACAAGGAATTTTATTAGGATTAAATGTCAGGAATTGTGAAAAACTGAGTTTAAATGTATTTGGCTAAGGTGTATGTAAACTTCCGACTTCAACTGTATATTTGGGTTATGTGAGATATCCTGTAAGAGACCTGCACAAGGCTCTTGCAGTGTGATAAATGTAAACTATTTGGACGTGTCAAGTGTATGTAGACGGGAGGAGTATCGTATGCCAGTTGGAGGCGAAATGCTGCAATTGTGGTGGCGAGCAAGCATCAGAATTCATGAAGTACCCAGTTAGGGTGAAGGAGACCGAGGTGGCAAGAATAAGGACTGTCCAGAATGTTTCCTATCCGGAGGCGGTGAGAAGAGTGGAAGAAGGGAGTAACGTTGAAGAAACCATGGTAGTTGGATTAGAGACATCAGTAAATGTTGCTCGCCAAACAGGATCCTGACACACTGCGTGTTAAAAAGGTGGACTTTGTATTGTTTATTGCATTGGTTATAAACTGCACAACGCAAAGAAAGAAGAAATCTGAAAAAATTGTTTTGAGTGCGGCTTAACGTTTTTTGGGACTCGAGATTTTACAGCAGATGCATTACAAGGAATACTGTCGATGAATGTTCAGTCCACACAGGCCTCCTGAGCCTGTGTAGGGATGTGATTTGGATTATCACTGAAGGAGTGGGGTGGGGCTTTTTTGGATAAATGTTATTTTTGTATTGTATATGATGGTGGTATTATCCCCACCCTCCTCTTTCCAGCAATGGATATTTTTATTTTCATTTTTCGTTCACTACCCGTACAGTAGATGGCGGCAATACACCAGTAGGTGTAGTCTGCCGTAAAACCTTAAAGAAGAAGAGAAGAAGACTGCGTCATCACGTAATTTTGAAGGGAAAAATAATGGCGGCTCTTGTTATGGAATGGGATAGTGCATGCATCAGATAAGTCTTCAAAACATTTTTGTGATAAATCTTTCCGAAAAAAATCCGTTAGAATAACCAAGGTGTCAACGTAACAAGTCAGAATGGCCCACCGATACCTCCGCTTGTCAAGAGGCGGCAGGAATCTATTACAAATGTTGCAGCCTCATAACATCAGAACAACTAACGTTAGCTGTGCACGACTGGTGAGTTGCAAGCTAGCTAAACAAACAGTCCTAGTCGATTCTTATTGCATGACAATGCATTATGAGTATGTTTTGGGCATAGGCAGGACAACGTCTTTACATATCGTCTGTATAAAATGTAGATACTGTCGTAATCCAACGTTATTTTGCACGTAAAACAACCTGTCATTCTAGCTAGGGTAACAGGCCTGCGAATGACATTGCCCTGGTTGGATAACACAGCGCGAGATTACATCACACATTCAATTGTTATTTAACGTTAGCTAGTCAACTATCGCGTCCCAAACCAACTTTGCAACATGTCTAGCCAGTTAGGTGTGTATGCACGTGTAGTGATGATTTGCGTTCGCCAATGTTACATGCTGACTACGCCGGACACGCACACATGTTGATTTTGTCCATCCACACCAAATGTGATCAGGACACGCAGGTTGAAATATCACAAGGAACTCTGAACAAACTATATTAATTTGGGGACAGTGCGAAACGCATATCAAACATTCATGGACATTTAGCTGGTCACACAAAATCGTGTGTTCTCTACTCCTAAAATTAATCCACAGATAAAAGGGGGAAACCCTAGTTAGTTTCAAGTAATCTCTCCTAGCTCAGTCTTCATCTTTTTTGGATTTTATATGGTGTTGGCAACCGACTGGAGTGTGGACATCCTTCATTTTTCAATCACCTATGCGGGTATATGCTCCTAAAAACCAACGAGGAGATGGGAGAGGCAGGATTTGCAGCACGTCAAGCGTCTAAAATAGAACCAAGTTCTGCATCCGGTGTGGTCAGGACGTTGGTCAACGTGACAGTTCAGTGAATGTTTAAGATTTCAGATGACATTTCAGAGCGATCATTAAACTAGCTTAAATAGCTAATGATGCTTCAGTTTTTTATGTTATAGTGTTACAGATTACAGTGGGCGCACCAACCAAAAATGTAATGGAGCAATATTTCTGAGGTGTATTCTGTGACGTTTTCACATGCACTTGGTTTCTGTCAGTAGGACTCAAGTAAAGACAAGTGTTTCCCAACCCTATTCTATTCGGACTATTCCAACACGACTACTATTTAAATACACCAATGGCTTGAAAACGAGAACTAGTTGAGCAGTTGAAGGTGTGCTGCTGTTTTAAATCGGTCAAAACATTTAAAATGACAGTGGGCCCCACGGATGGAGTTGTGAAACGGTGTATTATTTAGTGCAACATGACTTTTTTCCAAACATTCTGGTCCTGTATGGCTCAGTTGGTAGGGCATGGCGCTTGCAACACCAGTGTTGTGGGTTCGATTCCCGGGACCATCCATACGTAAGATGTATGCATACATGACTAAGTAGCTTTGGATAAAAGCGTCTGCTAAATGGCATATGTTATGTTGATTGTCATCTTTCATTTTCAAGGTCTCCAGCCAAGCAGACAGCCAGATAGTACATGAAAGGAGGACACTGTTTGAACATGTATTAGGTGCCTATCAAAGACTCTGCTCCAAACCACCAAAAGGTATGTACCTCGGTGTTTACTTTATTAGGCGGCAGGTAGCTTAGTGGTTAAGAGCATTGTGCCAGTAACCGAAAGGTCGCTGGTTCTAATCCCTGAGCCGACTAGGTGAAAAATCTGTCGATGTGCCCTTGAGCAAGGCACTTAACCCTAATTGTTATGTAAGTCGCTCTGGATAAGAGCGTCTGCTAAATGACCTATTTATTATTATTATTATTCATCTAGCAGATTCCCATTCTCTTGGATTATATATAACACAAAGCCTAATGTATTTATGGGTCATTAAAATGAAAGGATAAGTATTCCATGCTCATATATGATTTTGTGCTCTCTAAAGTTTGGTGTTCTTGCTTCAGGATTTGAAAAATATTTCCCCAATGGTCCGAAGAATTCTCAGAAGAATGCTCCGAAGAGCAGTGAACCCAACCCAAACAGTGGAGAAGCCAAAGGTAATTTAAACCGCTGACAAAATACATTTTCCTGTCCTATGTTGTTAGCTGGCTAAGATCTACTGAACACTGCCCTAATACAGTGCATTCGGGAAGTATTCAGACCCCTTCCCTTTTGACCACATTTTGTTACGTTACAGCCTTAGTCTAAAATGGATTAAATAAAAATCCTCATCAATCTACGCACAGTACCCCATAATGACAAAGCGAAAACAGGTTTTTAGAAATTTTTGCACATTTATTAAAAATTAAAAACAGACCCTTTGCTATGAGACTCAAAATTGAGCTTAGGTGCATCATGTTTCCATTGATCATCCTTGAGATGTTTCTACAACTTGATTGGAGTCCACCTGTGGTCAATTCAATTGATTGGAGATGATTTGGAAAGGCACACACCTGTCTATAAGGTCCCACAGGTGACAGTGCATGTCAGAGCAAAAACCAAGCCATGAGGTCAAAGGATTTGTCCGTAGAGCTCCGAGACAGGATTGTGTCAAGGCCCAGATCTGGGGAAGGGTACCAAAACAATTATGCACCATTGAATGTCCCCAAGAACAGTGGCCTCCATCATTCTTAAATGGAAGAAGTTTGGAACCAACAACACTCTTCCTAGAGCTGGCCAAACTGAGCAATTGGGGGAGAAGGGCCTTGGTCAGGGAGGTGACCAAGAACCTGATGGTCACTGACAGATGGAGAACCTTCCAGAAGGACAACCATCTCTGCAGCACTCCACCAATCAGGCCTTTTATGGTAGAGTAGCCAGATGGAAGCCACTCCTCAGTGAAAGGCACATGACAGCCCGCTTGGAGTTTGCCAGAAGGCACCTAAAGGACTCTCAGACCATGAGAAACAAGATTGAACTTTTTGGCCTGAATGCCAAGCGTCACGTCTGGAGGAAACCTGACACCATCCCTACGGTGAAGCATGATGGTGGCAGCATGCTGTGGGGATGTTTTTCAGCGGCAGTGACTGGGAGGCTAGTCAGGATCGAGGAAAATATGAACGGAGCAAAGTACAGAGAGATCCTTGATGAAAACCTGCTCCAGAGCGCTCAGAACCTCAGACTGGGTCGAAGGTTCACCTTCCAACAGGACAACAACCCTAAGCACACAGCCAAGACAACGCAGGAGTGGCTTCGGGACAAGTCTCTGAATGTCCTTGAGTGGCCCAGCGAGAGCCCGGACTTGAACCCGATCGAACATCTCTTGAGAGACCTGAAAATAGCTGTGCAGCGACGCTCCCCATCCAACCTGACAGCGCTTGAGATGATCTGCAGAGAAGAATGGGAGAAACTGCCCAAATACAGGTGTGCCAAGCTTGTAGCGTCATACCCAAGAAGACTCAAGGCTGTAATCGCTGCCAAAGGTGTTTCAACAAAGTACTTAGTAAAGGGTCTGAATACTTATGTCAATGTGATATTTAATATATTTTATAATTTTTATAAATGGAAACATTTTCTAAAAACCTGTTTTTGCTTTGTCATTATGGGGTATTGTGTGTAGATTGATGAGGGGTAAAAAACAATTTAATCAATTTTAGAATAAGGCTGTAACGTAACAAAAGGTGGAAAAAGTCAAGGGTTCTGAATTCTTTCCGAATGACCAGTATGTTGTGATTTAACAAAATGTTAACATTTCCAGTTTTTTAGATGAGCTATGTCATCATGCAAAACATATCTATGGAAGCCTCTGTGAACTACTGCACTACACCAATTCCATGTTCTAAACAGAGGGCTGACTTCGGTTTTAGTCTGAAAACTGATGTGTCTATCCGCCTTCTCAGAGGCCAAGCCAACAACCAATGCACAGAAGGCCACTGGTAGATCTAGTGGAGGAGGTGGAGGAGGAGGAGGTGGTGCCTCGGGCGGAGGAGGAAAAAGATCCAGGAAGGATGAGTCCCATTGGTATAGCCGGCTTCAAAAGGTGAGAATCAACACCTAAAACCTGGGCTGAAGTTGACTTAATATGTTTTGGGTATTTGGAGCATGCTAACCAAGGTCCTACCACTCCTACCATTGTTTTTTGCACTACTCTTAGCATCATGTCAATGCTAAAGTGTTGTAAACAAACCCAACTCCAACAGGACAATATAGTGCGCAGAGCAAATGAGACAACTGCACTGTTGGAGCTAGAAACACAAGCATTTCGCTACACCCGCAATAACATCAGCTAAATATGTGTATGTGATCAATAAAATTTGATTTGAAAACGACAGTGAAATTGGTTGTTATTAGTAATTCTTCCGCAACGTGTTTATCTTTAGGGTGACGTGCCATGGGACGACAAGGAGTTCCGAATGTACTTCCTGAGTGGTGCCGCGTTTTGGACCACGGTCACGTACTACTTCTTTTTACGGGAAGGCGGGAGAGAGGTCACTTGGAAAGACTTTGTCAATAACTACCTCTCGAAAGAAGTCGTAAGTATTCTATTGGTATCATTGGTAGGAAAATAGTGTGTAATTTGTAACAATGTGAGGTATTGTGTTAGGCTAGAGGTTAGATTTCAGTTTGCTCGATGTGTGGATTTGAATCTGATGATTTGTCCACTTCTTCTGTTGACCATCTCACATTCAGTGACTTCAATTTTGATATTTTTTTCTCTCTAGGTTGACAGATTGGAGGTAGTAAACAAGCGTTATGTGAAAGTGGTATTTACACCCGGAAAGACTCCAGTTGATGGAGTAAGTTATAAATATTTGTACCCCGTGGAATTTTTTATATATATTTTTTATATTCATGTGTTCGCTTCCTTAACTTGTTAGAACAAACTTAGTAATGAGTGGTTTGTAAAAAAATTTTGTACCCAGCAATACGTGTGGTTCAACATCGGCAGCGTGGACACGTTTGAGCGGAACCTAGAGACAGCTCAGTATGAGATGGGTATCGAGGGGGAGAACCGTCTGCCAGTGGTGTACTCCGCTGAAAGCGACGGGTATGTTGGACATTAGACCTTTAGTATGAGATGCTCCCAAAGTGGCCCAGTAGCACATCTCTCTTCCCCCCCCCACCTCAGGTCGTTCCTTCTCAGCATGCTGCCCACCGTGCTCATCATCGGCTTCCTGCTCTTCATGCTGAGGCGGGGGCCAGCGGGAGCGGGCCGACCGGGCGGCCGGGGCATGGGCGGACTATTCAGTGTCAGCGAGACCACGGCCAAGGTGCTGCGTGACGAGATCGACGTTAAGTTCAAGGACGTGGCGGGCTGCGAGGAGGCCAAGCTGGAGATCATGGAGTTTGTCAACTTCCTCAAGAACCCCAAGCAGTACCAGGACCTGGGCGCCAAGATCCCCAAGGTGAGCCGACAGGAGAGAACTTTGTTTATAAGCATAAACAATATGTATGAGCATTTTATGAAAATTCCACTTAGCCTATCATAGGGCCAGGTGGAGCTACCATCATATTGCCTATAGATATCATTAAAAAAAAAATCAGATCTCTTCAGGGGATAGGGACAGGAGGTTATTTCTGGGAGTAAGTCAGTAATGAGCATGTTCCATAGCGTTGATATGTTATAGCAATCTTCTGGGATGCACAGCAATCATGACTGCAAAAACCAACAACCTGGAACACCACCAAAGTCATACTCTTCTCTGTCACAGGGGGCCATCCTGACGGGACCCCCTGGCACAGGGAAGACCCTGCTGGCCAAGGCCACTGCCGGAGAGGCCGACGTCCCCTTTATCACCGTCAACGGCTCAGAGTTCCTGGAGATGTTTGTGGGTGTGGGCCCCGCCAGGGTAAGTGGCAACACTGGATCTTGGTGTCAGTATTTGTGTCTTAGTGTGATGCACTTCGGGTTGATGGACATTTCTGATTGATTGCGCAACGTATTGTTCATTTCGTCAACTGAACCTTTTTTTTCAGTCAAAGCTTAACTGTGTTCCAATGCTCTTTCATTTGGAAATCCACCTGACAAAGGGAAAGTACAGCTATCCAATTCTTTCACATCTACTGTACATGAAGTGCCCTGCCCTGTCGTCCTCTCCTGTCAGCCCTGCCAAGTAGAGCCCTGCATCTGTCAGCCCTGCCAAGTAGAGCCCTTCCCTGTCAGCTCTGCCAAGTAGAGCCCTTTCCCTGTCAGCTCTGCCAAGTAGAGCCCTTCCCTGCCAACTCTGCCAAGGAGAGCCCTTCCCTGTCAGCCCTGCCAAGTAGAGCCCTTTCCCTGTCAGCCCTGCCAAGTAGAGCACTTCCCTGTCAGCCCTGCCAAGTAGAGCCCTTCCCTGTCAGCTCTGCCAAGTAGAGCCCTTTCCTGTCAGCCCTGCCAAGTAGAGCCCTTCCCTGTCAGCCCTGCCAAGTAGAGCCCTTTCCTGTCAGCCCTGCCAAGTAGAGCCCTTCCCTGTCAGCTCTGCCAAGGAGAGCCCTGCCAAATAGAGCCCTGTCCTAATGTCCAGCTGACATTCTTACTCACAATTCTTGACAGTTGCGTCTTGCTCTCGATTGAAAGATTGCTGAACCAGGACTCCAGTTTAAAAGTAATGTCAGAGATATGTGATAGGCATGGGCAGTATCCAGATTGTCATACCTTCATACCGACCTTGTGCCGTCCCGGTTTATTGGGTAATATCATCACTGAACACAAGGGGCGCTATTTTTAATCCGAAGGTTAGCAATGCAAACAAGTACATGTAAAATACCATAGCGAATGCTAGCTAAATGCTAACAAACACATGCAAACATTTTATACAGTCTCTTACAAACTATTTGCAGGACAGACATCCCAGCACATAAAGTTATAGAAGTAACTAAAAAAATGCTACAGTTTGCTGCACGCATAAAACAAATATTAGACAGTATGGCTCTTGATCCAGGAGGGGATTCTCTGCTGTTACCAATAGAGGATCTTGATTGCAGGAAGCTAACCACTTAGCTAGATAACTAGCTGCTAAGTTAGCAAACCAAATACACAACTGCAGAGCATCTAGCACATATCTAGCTGGCAAACATTTAGTTATGAATTCCATACTGTAACTAGATAACCTGGCGCATGCTGCACAATGGTGAGTGACTCACCAGGCTCCGGTCTCTCGTCGTTGTGCACTTGTAAATAAGCAATAAAAAGTAGCTACAAATATTAAGATTTATTAAACATTAAAGAAATAGTTTCAACAGTATTGAAAAAACATCCCGTGGCTATTTCCAAATACCCCGGTATACGGTATATATACGGTGTACCGCCCAATCCTAATGTATGCCGGGTTTTATTCTCTCCCTGCTTTGTGCTCTCCAGGTCCGAGATCTGTTTGTCATGGCCCGTAAGAACGCCCCTTGCATCCTCTTCATCGACGAGATTGACGCCGTGGGGCGCAAGCGAGGCAGAGGGAACTTTGGTGGCCAGAGTGAGCAGGAAAACACCCTCAATCAGCTGCTGGTCGAGATGGATGGTGTGTATCGCTCAAGGCTCTGCAAAAATGAATAGTTCATCATCAAATCCAGCTGAAATTGCCATGACTGGGGCAATAAATGCCCCAGAAAAATACGTAGTCCACTCATTTTTGCGAGGGCTGTCTCTACACAGGCCGCCGCAGTAGGGACGGGCACGGTTATTCAAATATCCGAATGGACGTTAGTATTCGATTACTTGGGAGAGTATTCATTTTTGAGAAAGAGAAAATAGGAAATGAAGTGGGAGATTTTTAATCAATGCAAAATGGAATTCAAATTACGGAATGAAGTTGGTGAAATGAGGAGTGGGCTACAATGATCAACCAACAGGCAGGCTGTTGTTTCATATGAATGGAGTTGTTGTAGACATTGGACAGGGAGCGCATCAATTAGCCATGCTACTTTAGCTAGCTAGCTGGCAACTGTAGCTAGCCAGCTAGCTTCTTTTACAACGATTTGATGCAGTCAAGACAGGCACTACCAGATGGTAGGATTGATAACCTATGGCAGCAACAAGTTTGTCTAACTAGCGAGATTCGGTTTGGCTACTCCTCCGTGCCCCACACATATACACTGTAAGAGTGCAATGCGCCGTCTCGCTCTCGCGAGTTGCGTGAGCAGAGTCTCCATTGAAGTTAGAAAAATATATACAACATCCTTTAAAACACATGTATTCCGACTATCCGAAAAAAAAAAATGCTATTCGAATACTGAAATCATTTCAAATGCCCATCCCTACTCCACAGTGGTTAAATTGGGCCAGAGCCACCCGGGGCATCTTGGGTTAGAACGAGAGCTTGGCGTAGCCGGGCTTTAGCACCAAAGAGAAAAATAAATAGCCTAATTTATTAATATCTTCTAAACTAATGACGACTCCTTGACTTTTAAATCTTTAAAATAGCGACACTGTAGCCCACAACCCAACAATGCCGTTATTAAACGATATCATAACCAACCATTTGGTGGGAGTAGAGGGAAGTTGGAGGTATCCATGCGCTTGTATGTCTGTGACCTGATGTATAGGAGTGATCATAAAAGTTGTTTATTTGCACTTTTACTTTTTGGGGGTTTATTGCAGAACACCAGTTATGCCCAATGTTGACTCTAATGTATGTATTTTCGGAGATTGAAATGATCATTAGACCAGTGTTTCTTAATCCTGGTCCAGCAGACCCAAAGGGGTTGACATTATATATATTTTTTGCCCTAGCACTACACACCTGATTCCGCTAATCAAAGGTTTGATAGTTGATTCAGTGTTTCCCCTAGGGGGGACTTGGTATTGGGCGTGGTCAATTGCACGGTCTCCGATCGACGTTTTTAACGGCCGCCGTCTTGGCCGCAGAGACAACATTTTTTCGGTTGAATGCTAATTTTCTGCAATTCTACACCTTTTCATGGGCTGAGAGGAAAAAAACGTCAGTTTTAAAGCTACTTTCCTGCAATTCTCTGTGTTCTTATGCCATCTGAGTGACTCAAACATTATTACAAAATAAATGGGGGCCCCATGCCAAATTTTAGGTTCTCTCTCTAAATGTATTTTTGTTCTCTAAATATATATATATATTTTGTATAGCTTGTTTATCTTTTCTACATACTTTTAGTTTTAAGTTTACACCAACCACGTTTACGTCCACAGTTTGGTGTCCATTTGGTGGAAACACCAATGCACAAATTGTCTTTATGCGGATTCTAGAATATTCTGTGTGTGTCCCCCCCCCCCCCCCCCCCCCCTATATTTCTTGGAGTGGCGGCCCGCTACTGCTAAATGAATATAGGGGAAACACTGTGATAATGGAATCAGGTGTGTGGTGCTAGGGTAAAAACTAAAATCTGCACCCCTTTGGTTCCCCCAGGACCAGGAATAATAAAAAAAAAAACACTGATTTAGACAGAATCCATATAACACTGTCGCCTACATTTTTTTTTTTTTTTTCTCTGTTTCCAGGGTTCAACACAGCGACCAATGTAGTAGTGCTAGCCGGTACCAACAGACCTGACATCCTGGACCCTGCACTGATGAGGCCCGGACGCTTTGACAGACAGATTTACATTGGTACAAGCCCATCGTTTTTTGTTTTTAATCATATGCCCTCCCCTGACTGCTAGGGTTTCCTCCTGTTCTGGATTAATGTAGTTGTTGGATATGGTAAAGAAAAATATGAATCCACTGTAATACAGGAAAATTGGGTCAACCTTTAGTTGATGCTGAAAGGAATGACCAAGTTAGGAAACTGTAAAAATCTTTTGAACATTGGTAACATTTTGTTTTCGCAGGTCATCCTGACATTAAAGGCAGATCGTCCATATTTAAGGTGCACTTGAGGCCTTTGAAAATGGATGCAGAGATGGACAAAGAAGCTCTCGCCAGGAAAATGGCTGCCCTCACCCCGGGCTTCTCAGGTGGGTATTTGAGGCACACTGGGGATGCCATCCTAGACAATGGTGTCAAAACTGCCGTCATTGTGTTTCTATAGGCCTAGTTAAAATGATCACAAACTGTTATCATATGTAGAATGTCATATACTGCATACCAGGGTTTCCGTTAGCTGGTAATTGCCGATTTAAAAAAAAAAAAAAAAATAATAATAATAATTTAAAGCTGCAATAGGTAAGTTTTTGGGCGACCCAACGAAATTCAGATAGAAATTTGAGTTGTAGATCTGTCATCCTCATTGACTTCAAGTCTTAAGAAGTGGTAGATCTGTTCTATGTGCACTATTTCTATGCTTCCTGTGCTTAAGTTTCGTTTTTTGCATCTTACTTTCGGTATTGTACACCAGCTGAAAATCTAATATTTTTGGTTATGGAAAAGGTATCACAGCGGTTGAGATGGTAAAATGAATCTCTACACTGTATTTGCTTGTTTTGTCACATCAACTGAAATTAGGCGAACTAGTAGAATTTTAGCAACCAGGAAATGGCGGAGCGATTTCTGCATAGTGCATCATTAAAAGCCGATAAATAAAATTGTAGCCGGCCAAATCTTCCCGAGATGCATATCATACAACCCGATTGCTCGCTTCAGCACCATTCTCTCACGCCTTGCGCGCTGACTTACGTCATGCTGTCTGTTGAGAGAGCAAGATTGGAGCCTTGGGCAACTGTTGATTAAGAGGATGGGAGGCCTTTTTTAATTGAAGTAAAACGAAAATGTGAGAGTAATGCCTATAGTGAAAAGCCTACAAGGGGAATGTCCTCCTTATGGACAAGTTTTAATGTTGTAGTGAACAAAGATGGGAAGAATGTTGGCACGGCCAAAAGCAGGCTACTGTGCAACTCTCTATTCAGGTAGGATGCAATTTATTTACTTTATTAATTTTTTCGTATTTATAATCATTTGTTTTATCATTATTATTGTTACTGTATATCATTGTTATTATTGTAGGCATATTTATTAATCAAAACCAGTCTTTAAATATGTAAAACGTGTTTTGTTTCATTCTGTTGACAATTTAATTGGCTAAATTAAGTTTGATCTGTCTTTTTTAATTGTGTGCTCCGTATTTAGTTTAAGAGGGGTTATAAGTAGGCCTGTTGTAAAATAAATATTAGCTTATTGCTGTCATTTGTTGGGTACGGTAGGCACTAGCCTTTCTTGGTAATTGCTGCAAATACAGCCTGTACAAAACTTTTGTGAAGGTTTTATTAAACCAGTTTGCAAATGTTTTGTTTCATTCTGAGCCATTTTCTTTGGGCAAATTTAAGTTCCAACTGTGATGTTGTGTTTGCCGCAATATAATGTCCTGCTCAGATTTTCCCTATAAAAAAAAATGGCTTGGCTTGGTGTTTTGGTTTGGTGTGGCTGTTAGCCTATTATACTGCATGCCAATGAAATGAAGGCATTGCGCACCGTCGCACCAACTGACAGTTGAACGTGAGGTGAGGAAGAATGTTTTAGAGTTACCAGAGTTGCACCACAATCTTACAATATAGTTCTTCTCTTTATTTTAAAAAAATATTCTGATTTGAAAATTTACGAAGTAGCCTCCTTCTGTACCCCTATATCTGTATAGCAGACGCCGTAGTCTGACAAGGATAATGAAATGCATGTCGGTGTCGTTAGATAACGGAGGCGTATCTCTCTCTTTCTCTGGGGCTAGGCCTAAGCTTCTCTTCCTTTTTATATGAATTTGTTATAAATATTAATATCATACAGTGGACTCCTAAGCCTTTAGGGCTACGCATGCAATGCCTTGCTGCATTTAGTGCTCAAATCTCCCGACAGCTGAACCATGAGGTGGACAATTATTATTTTAGGAAAGTAAAAACCAATAAAACAATAGGCTAGAAAGTTTTGTAATGCTGCACATCGAAACACAAAGAATAGTGTTTTTGTTATAGGCTGTTTTTAAGGACACGTAATTATCCCTCGTTTATTGATGGCGCTGGCTGCGTGGATGGACCCCCTAATGGATTACGGATCCAATGCATATGGGATGACCAGCACATTTCTCAAATGTCAGATAAATTAAAATCTTCCCGGTCACTTGTCTGGCGAAAACCCTGCTGCTTACATACTGTATGACGTAGCATTTTCCCTGTACATTTTCATATTGATATTTGTATAAAAAAATAAAATACAAATTTGACTGAAGCAGTTTACTTACACTTATTTTGGAAGGTTTTTCTTACAATGTTCATATTATTATACATATATTTTTTTGCCTTTTAATTTTAAAAATGCTCGTTGAAAACTGCTCTGGATGAGGCTAAACTATATTTATAAAAAATAAATAATTATAATTATATTCTGCTTTGTTAGGTGCTGATATTGCCAATGTGTGCAACGAAGCCGCCCTGATTGCTGCTCGCCACCTAGCGGACTCCATCAACCACAAGCACTTTGAGCAGGCCATTGAACGTGTGATCGGAGGTGAGCACAAGCACGTACAGTTGAAGTCGGAAGTTTACATACGCTTAGGTTGGAGTCATTAAAACTCATTTTTCAACCACTCCACAATGTATTTTATACATTGTAGAATAATTATGAAGACATCAAAACTATGAAATAACACATGGAATCATGTAGTAACCAAAAAAGTGTTAAACAAATCAAAATATATTTTATATTTGAGATTCTTCAAATAGCCACCATTTGCCGTGATGACAGCTTTGCACACTCTTGGCATTCTCTCAACCAGCTTTACCTGGAATGCTTTTCCAACAGTCTTGAAGGAGTTCCCAAATATGCTGAGCACTTGTTGGCTGCTTTTGCTTCACTCTGCGGTCCAACTCATCCCAAACCATCTCAATTGGGTTGAGGTTGGGTGATTGTGGAGGCCAGGTCATCTGATGCAGCACTCCATCACATCCTTCTTGGAAAATAGCCCTTACACAGCCTGGAGGTGTGTTGGGTCATTGTCCTGTTGAAAAACAAATGATAGTCCCACTAAGCCCAAGCAAGTCTATTCTTCTTATTGGTGTCCTTTAGTAGTGGTTTCTTTGCATCAATTCGACCAATGACGTAAATGTAAATGTAATTCACACAGACTCCTCTGAACAGTTGATGTTGAGATGTGTCTGTTACTTGAACTTTGTGAAGCATTTATTTGGGCTGCAATTTCTGAGGCTGGTAACTCTAATGAACGTATCTTCTGCAGCAGAGGTAACTCTGGGTCTTCCATTCCTGTGGCGGTCCTCGTGAGAGCCAGTTTAATCATAGCGCTTGATGGTTTTTGCGACTGCACTTGAAGAAACTTTCAAAGTTCTTGAAATGTTCCGTATTGACTGACATTCATGTCTTTTAAAGTAATGATGGACTGTCGTTTCTCTTTGCTTATTTGAGCTGTGCTTGCCATAAAATGGACTTGGTCCTTTACCAAATAGGGCTATCTTCTGTATACCCCCCCAACTTTGTCACAACACAACTGATTGGCTCAAACGCATTAAGAAGGAAAGAAATTCCACAAATTAACTTTTAAGAAGTCACACCTGTTAATTGAAATACATTCCAGGTGACTACCTCATGAAGCTGGTTGAGAGAATGCCAATAGTGTGCAAAGCTGTCATCAAGACAAAGGGTGGCTAGTATTTTGAAGAATCTCAAATATAAAATATATTTTGATTTGTTTAACGCTTCTTTGGTTACTACATGATTCCATATGTGTTATTTCATAGTTTTGATGTCTTCACTATTATTCTACAATGTAGAACATAGTAAAAGTAAAGAAAAACCGTTGAATTAGTAGGTGTTGTACAACTTTTGACCGGTAGTGTACGTACACAAATGGACACATACTGATTTTTGGCATTTTTCCTATTTTGTTGCCTTACAACCTGGAATTAAAATGAATTTTTTGGGGGTTTGTATCATTTGAATTACACAACATGCCTACCACGTTGAAGATGCAAAATATTTTTTATTGTAAAGCAAACAAGAAAAAGACAAAAAAAACAGAACTTGAGCGTGCATAACTATTCACCCCCCCAAAGTCAATACATTGTAGAACCACCTTTTGCAGCAATTACAGCTGCAAGTCTCTTGGGGTATGTCTCGATAAGCTTGGCATATCTAGCCACTGGGATTTTTGCCCATTCTTCAAGGCAAAACTGCTCCAGCTCCTTCAAGTTGGATGGGTTCCGCTGGTGTACAGCAATATTTAAGTCATACCACAGATTCTCAATTGGATTGAGGTCTGGGCTTTGACTAGGCCATTCCAAGACATTTAAATGTTTCCCCTTAAACCACTCGAGTGTTGCTTTAGCAGTATGCTTAGGGTCATTGTCCTGCTGGAAGGTGAACCTCAGTCCCAGTCTCAAATCTCTGGAAGACTGAAACAGGTTTCCCTCAAGGATTTCCCTGTATTTAGCGCCATACATCATTCCTTCAGTTCTGACCAGTTTCCCAGTCCCTGCCGATGGAAAAACATCCCCACAGCATGATGCTGCCACCACCATGCTTCACTGTGGGGATGGTGTTCTCGGGGTGATGAGAGGTGTTGGGTTTGCGCCAGACATAGCGATTTCCTTGATGGCCAAAAAGCTCAATTTTAGTGTCATCTGACCAGCGTACCTTCTTCCATATGTTTGGGGAGTCTCCCACATGCCTTTTGGCGAACACCAAACGTGTTTGCTTAATTTTTTTCTTTAAGCAATGGCTTTTTTCTGCCCACTCTTCTGTAAAGCCCAGCTCTGTGGAGTGTATGGCTTAAAGTGTTCCTATGGACAGATACTCCAATCTCCGCTGTGGAGCTTTGCAGCTCCTTCAGGGTTATCTTTGGTCTCTTTGTTGCCTCTCTGATTAATGCCCTCCTTGCCTGGTCCGTGAGTTTTGTTGGGCGGCCCTCTCTTGGCAGGTTTGTTGTGGTGCCATATTCTTTCCATGTTTTAATAATGGATTTAATGGTCCTCCGTGGGATGTTCAAAGTTTCTGATATTTTTTTATAACCCAACCCAGATCTGTGTACTTCTCCACAACTTTGTCCCTGACCTGTTTGGAGAGCTCCTTGGTCTTCATGGTGCTGCTTGCTTGGTGGTGGGGCCTTTCAGAACAGGTGTATATATACTGAGATCATGTGACAGATCATGTGACACTTAGATTGCACACAGGTGGACTTTATTGAACTAATTATGTGACTTCTGAAGGTAATTGGTTGCACCAGATCTTACTTAGGGGCTTCATAGCAAAGGGGGTGAATACATATGCACGCACCTCTTTTCCGTTATTTATTTTTTAGAATTTCTTGAAACAAGTTATTTTTTTAATTTCACTTCACCAATTTGGACTATTTTGTGTATGTCCATTACATTAAATCCAAATAAAAATCAATTTAAATTACAGGTTGTAATGCAACAAAATAGGAAAAATGCCAAGACGGATTAATACTTTTGCAAGGCACTTTATGTATTGGCTACTTACAAGCTGTGTTGTCAAGACCAGCAAACCGTAGAGATGTAAGGAACTCTTATGTGAGTACTCTTGTCAATTGTAATGTCAATTACATTTCACCTGAAATTGATTAAACTGAAATGTATTCCAATCAATATGCTCAAATTGAACTGGTGTGGCTTGATACTCTCTGCTGGACTTTTTACAGAGCAACAAAGATCAAACGTCATACATCGATTACTCACGCCTTCCCTTCTGTTCTGCCTCCTTCATTCAACCTAGCTATATAAATTGGGTACCTGCTTTGTCATGCAGATTGTTTCGATAGTCGCACAGATCTGTCAACTCCTTTCTGTTGTTGAATGTCCAGGTCTGGAGAAGAAGACTCAGGTCCTGCAGCCTGAGGAGAAGACGACTGTAGCTTACCACGAGGCAGGGCATGCTGTGGCAGGCTGGTACCTGGAGCACGCTGACCCTCTGCTTAAGGTAGATCCTAGTCACTACCAACATTCTACCTACCACTCTATATTGGTAGACCCTAGTCACTACCAACATTCTATACGGGTAGACCCTAGTCACTACCAACATTCTACCTACCACTCTATATTGGTAGACCCTAGTTACTACCAACATTCTACCTACCACTCTATACGGGTAGACCCTAGTCACTACCAACATTCTACCTACCACTCTATATTGGTAGACCCTAGTCACTACCAACATTCTACCTACCACTCTATATTGGTAGACCCTAGTCACTACCAACATTCTACCTACCACTCTATATTGGTAGACCCTAGTCACTACCAACATTCTATACGGGTAGACCCTAGTCACTACCAACATTCTACCTACCACTCTATATTGGTAGACCCTAGTCACTACCAACATTCTACCTACCACTCTATATGGGTAGACCCTAGTCACTACCAACATTCTATACGGGTAGACCCTAGTCACTACCAACATTCTACCTACCACTCTATATTGGTAGACCCTAGTCACTACCAACATTCTACCTACCACTCTATATGGGTAGACCCTAGTCACTACCAACATTCTATACGGGTAGACCCTAGTCACTACCAACATTCTACCTACCACTCTATATTGGTAGACCCTAGTCACTACCAACATTCTACCTACCACTCTATATGGGTAGACCCTAGTCACTACCAACATTCTACCTACTACTCTATATTGGTAGACCCTAGTCACTACCAACATTCTATACGGGTAGACCCTAGTCACTACCAACATTCTACCTACCACTCTATATTGGTAGACCCTAGTCACTACCAACATTCTACCTACCACTCTATACGGGTAGACCCTAGTCACTACCAACATTCTACCTACTACTCTATATTGGTAGACCCTAGTCACTACCAACATTCTACCTACCACTCTATTGGTAGACCCTAGTCACTACCAAAATTCTACCTACCACTCTATACGGGTAGACCCTAGTCACTACCAACATTATACCTACCACTCTATATGGGTAGACCCTAGTCACTACCAACATTCTACCTACCACTCTATATGGGTAGACCCTAGTCACTACCAACATTCTACCTACCACTCTATATTGGTAGACCCTAGTCACTACCAACATTCTACCTACCACTCTATATGGGTAGACCCTAGTCACTACCAACATTCTACCTACCACTCTATACGGGTAGACCCTAGTCACTACCAACATTCTACCTACCACTCTATACGGGTAGACCCTAGTCACTACCAACATTCTACCTACCACTCTATACGGGTAGACCCTAGTCACTACCAACATTCTACCTACCACTCTATACGGGTAGACCCTAGTCACTACCAACATTCTACCTACCACTCTATACGGGTAGACCCTAGTCACTACCAACATTCTACCTACCACTCTATACGGGTAGACCCTAGTCACTACCAACATTCTACCTACCACTCTATACGGGTAGACCCTAGTCACTACCAACATTCTACCTACCACTCTATACGGGTAGACCCTAGTCACTACCAACATTCTACCTACCACTCTATACGGGTAGACCCTAGTCACTACCAACATTCTACCTACCACTCTATATGGGTAGACCCCAGGCTGATCGTTGTTTTGACCCAGTCGTTAATGCTAATCATTCTATTCATTCAACGTTTTATATGCTAAACAAATCATTAGCATGTACCTAGCTAGCAGAGATTCACTGAGGATGAGCGACAAGAACGTTCATTATTTAATACATCTACAATAGGCCGCACTGCGCTGGTTAATTAATGGAATTCTGAGTGTTTACGGTTTCCGTGGTGAATTATTAGTTTTACGTTCATTCTTGGGCTACTGGCACGGGAGATGTTTAATTTGACAAATGTGATATTGTTACACAGGTCGTAGAGGCAGACGGGTAGATCTATACAAACCCCAACTGTTGCAAACCAAATGGTGGCATGGACAAATAATGTGTAGATATTTTCCCCCCGAGAGAGATTAAGTTTATGAATTTCCTGCCTGGGGGACAGTGGAATTATGACATTAATACGTCATGGTATTTTGCGGGAGGAGTTGTCCCACTAAACCTAACCCACCATCCAGGATCCAAACAACCTGTTTTATAATATTAACGCTATACATTTATTTACATTTTAGTCATTTAGCAGACGCTCTTATCCAGAGCGACTTACATGAGCAATTAGGGTTAAGTGCCTTGCTTAAGGGCACATCGACAGATTTTTCACCTAGTCGGCTCGGGGATTAGAACCAGCGACCTTTCGGTTACTGGCACAACGCTCTTACCCACTAAGCTACCTGCCGCCCTGTACTGGACTGTAGTGGTCTTTAACCATGCATTCTTAGGAAAAGTGTTATGTTAATATTGGCGGTTTTGTAAAGCATTAGTCTGACTAGGTCTAGAGAATATATGCATACTTTGCAACATATTAAAGTGATAGTTCACTTTCTTTCTTTTGATGTTTTAGGCAATAACATACGATTTTAATACTGGTTGACCAATAACTGCCCGGCTCTACTTACCTCAATCTGCGTAATACATTTTACACGAGGGACATTTGCCCATTGTCTAGTTGTCCCATCTGTCTGGCTCAACTTACCTCTGAATCTGCGTCATCTCTTGACACGTCTGACATTTTGTCCTCTCTCCAGGTATCCATCATCCCCAGGGGCAAAGGGTTGGGCTACGCCCAGTACCTGCCCAAGGAGCAGTACCTATATACGAAGGAGCAGCTGTTGGACAGGATGTGCATGACGCTGGGTGGCCGCGTGTCCGAGGAGATCTTCTTCGGCCGCATCACCACGGGGGCCCAGGACGACCTCAGGAAGGTCACCCAGAGCGCGTACGCCCAGGTCCGTCTCCCCCCCCCACACCCCCACCCCCACCCCAACCACACCACCAGATTTATTAGCATTTTATTGGAGTTTTTCTTTGTGTTTCACTGGGCTAGTACACAATTGGGTTTTTGGTTATGATCGGGTAAGACGGTTGTACTAATCTCATGAAGGTGTATATATATGTCACATTCCAGTTATTTATTTATTTTAAAGTAGAGTGGATTATCACTCTTTTTGTAATATTTACATATGACATATTTGCGTTTTATTGAGACAGTAATGAAAAGAGATGGAGAGACATTCAAGTGGGAGAGTCGGTGAGAGGGGAGGACCTGAGGCTTGAACTCAAGTTTCCGGCGGGGAGAAGCATACACTGAGTGTACAAAACATTAGGAACACCTGGTCTTTCCATGACAGACTGACCAGGTGAATCCAGGATGAAAGCTATGATCCCTTATTGATGTCACCTGTTAAATCCACTTCAATCAATGTAGGTGAAGGGGAGGAGACATGGTTAAAGAAGGGTTTTTAAGCCTTGAGACATGGATTGTGTATGTGTGCCATTCAGAGGGTGTATGGGCAAGACAAAATATTGAAATGCCTTTTGAACGGGGTATGATGGTAGGTGTCAGGTGCCCCGTTTTGGAGTGTGTGAAGAACTGCAATGCTACTGGGTTTTTCACGCTCAACAGTTTCCCCGTGTGAATGGTCAAGAATGGTCCACCAACTCCTTGTGTTTTGGGTTGTGTACTTGTGACGAGACCTCCAGACCATGGTGCCTGCACATATTACATGTCTTTTTTTTTATTGAATATACTGACAATCTTGCAGGCTATCCAATAAAGTGTTACTCTGTTTCTACTCCTTTTTTTGTCTTTACAGATCGTGCAGTTTGGCATGAACGACAAGGTGGGCCAGGTGTCCTTCGACTTGCCCCGGCAAGGCGAGATGACCCTCGAGAAGCCATACAGCGAGGCCACGGCTCGCCTCATCGACACGGAGGTACGCAATCTCATCCGAGAGGCCTACGAGCGCACTCACACTCTACTGGCCGAGAAGAAAGCCGACGTGGAGAAGGTACGTGTGGGAGAGGGAGGGAGTGGTGGTATGGACACGCAGACAAGCACTTACTCACAGGCTTACACTGTTTCACTCATACAGACACACAAGTAAAACCTAAGCCGAAATGTAATACATTTACCTTCAATGGTTGCCTGGTCAGGTGGCGCAGCGTCTGCTGGAGAAGGAAGTCCTGGACAAGAAGGACATGGTGGAGATGCTGGGGAAGCGGCCGTTCGCTGAGAAGTCCACCTACGAGGAGTTTGTGGAGGGCACGGGGGGTATGGATGAGGACACATCCCTGCCTGAGGGCCTGAAGGACTGGAACAAAGAGCGTGACAAGGACAAGGAGGAAAGCACAGAGGAGCAGGTAGCCCGACAGATCTCCGGAGGGATGCCCTTCTAACGGGGACTGCTTGGCCTCACCAAGGGTTGTTTTTTTTAGTATGTGGCTGTACTGAGATTAGAACAGGTTGGTGTTAGAACGGATCCTGTGGAAGGACCTCGGTAAGCCCCGCCTAAACGTTACTTCGACTGAACCATGCCCAGGATCCCTCTGATTGGTCAGTTGCGTCCTTTGCAATGGTCATGGGCGTATTCAGCGAGATGAAACATTCTGAACGTTGCAGATATAAATGTCACAGGAGTTAAAGTTCTGTCATTGATGAGGTTTGAGTAAAAAAAAAATACATGAAATCTTTTTCTTTTGGGGGGGGTATTATTTAGGGTAAGGATATGCTCCAGGCCACTTGAACGTCTAAAACTAGAAACTATGTAGAATTGACCTTTTTCTGGCCCTCAAAATCGATTTTCACCAACGAATCGGTCATAAAATAAAATCTGTGCGGCCCTCAGTTAAATTTCAAAATCCCGACGTGGCCCTCGAGCCAAAAGGTTTTCCTGCCAATCTAAGATCGACTTAAGTTGCAGTCATGATTTTCTGTTGTTGGTGATTTTTAACCCGCGTCATAAATAAAGTTATGTATTCCCTATTCTACATGGGGAATAAGCGTATCTGTTCACCAACTAAAATATTTGAGCGCTCAACATCCTTTTCTCCCGCTCCACAAAAAAAAAACGCTCCGCACTCGCAGGAAGAAAAAAAAAAAAAAACTGCCACTCCAAATTCACTGCATTTATGTTTTGTTTAAAACGATAATTTAACTAATACCCCATCTACTTTTGTGACTATGTACCATTTGGTTTTGAAGTAGGCTTTCGTAAGAAGCTTAAATATTTCAACATGTCGTAGGTTACCGAACAAGGACCTACCTGCTGATATGCAGCCGCTGTGTGTAAAAAAAAAAAAAAAAACACTCACTTTTTTGATGATCAGATAGGCTACTTCAGCTGTAACCGTGGCTCTGTAGCGCTCACATTTTACAGTTGATTGACAACTTCAGCACTGTTAAATAGACTCCTCCTTTCTTTTAACAACGGCCTATATAAACATCTAAACCTCTCCGTTGCTGCTGCATGGGCTTATTCGTTGTCTTGCCCTCATCGGTTACACAGGCTGTGAACTATTTATTTGTCGACTCGTATCAAACATCTCTGCTCGTTAGTGGTGGGTTAGGCTAAATAAATACAACAGAATAGGCCTCATTTCAAATAAGTTGTGAAAGAAATTTTAAAATGCTGCCCAGAGCTCGTGACTGAGCGGTACCGGAGCAAAATTGGAGAGGGCGAGAGAGAGAGAGGGCGAGAGGGAGAGGTCTACTCCTCGCTACATTTCCGTTCACATCCTCTGTTTTTACACAGTACATTTCTGTCTAGATGTTCTGTAACTCCACCGATCCTGAACAGGCCCCAGAGAGACTGACTATATAGTGTCCTTTTCTGGGGATAGGATGGAAGCACTGCCCTTGATCTTCTGCTTTGAGGCCCCCTTGAGTGTGGGACACTGGAGGAGTGGGGCTTTAGAAGACTGGGTGAAAATTGAGAGGTTTTTATAAACTTCTCAACCCAGCCAGTATTTAATTATGGACTACTTCAATTACAAAAATCTAGAATCCACCGTTGATGTCTGGCTTTGTAAAGAACGTTCACCAAAGTGTAGCTTGGGGTTGTTTCCTTGTTTGGAAAAGAGATTTGTACATGAGACGTCAAGCCAAGGTTGCTGTATAGATTTTGAGTAGATAACCAAAAGTAACGCAAAAAGTCTTACAATGACTTTGAAATACTCCCAGTAGTACATGAAATGTTAGAAAAAAACGAATGATGTTCAGGAAATAAAGAAATTATGCTTGAAACCCCCCCTATTAATCTTTGCTTCTGTGAAGTGGAGTCAAACTCAAACCTAATGAAATATGTGAAGATTAAATGTCTTCACTTTCATCCAATTCGTATTCATATTAAAAAAAACAGACCAGGCTGATGAGTGGGAACTAACTGTAAGTCGCTCTGGATAAGAGCGTCTGCTAAATGACTAAAATGTAATGTAAATGTAATGAAAACATGCAACTGAAACCAAGGTTAGGACGGGTAAATGACAAAGTGCACACAATGCATAAAGAAGACACTGCAGAAAGATATTACATACACACTGGGAAAAAAATACTTTATTTTATGCATAACTCAGACCTGCCAACTGGGAAAAAAATACTTTATTTTATGCATAACTCAGACCTGCCAACCTGCACGCATTTTGCGTACCATGCACGCAATCGAAGGTCAAAGTATGCTGGTATGAAAAAAACGACCCTAAAATATGCAAAAATAGGCTTCTAGTTGGTTGGCACATTGTGGTTTTTTGACTCAATCGTCTGAAGTTGGAGCTGAGCCAATCAGAGGACTTGGGCGGCGAGGAGAAAACAAATCTCTAGCTCTCCGCTCCGGCCCGCCCCCCTGTAGTCGTAGCACAGACAGAAGGGAAAACCCAGACACGTCACGGGCTGGAAAGCTGAAGCATTTGTTTAGAATGTTTTCTCACCACCAAATATAGTAGTGTGAGGGAAGTCCAGGCGCGTCAGTGGGAGAAGATGGAACTAGGTCAAACTGGGCCGACAATTTTTCTCATCGATGAAACATCTGATCTAAAAAAATGTTTTTACCAAAACTAGAATCTGTTATGAACATGGTGCACTAAGTTAAATAGACTTGATGCTTTGCCAAAGTTTCAAAAAATTTATTTCAAAATTCTTGCAAATGTATTGAAAATGAAATACAGAAATATCTAATTTATATAAGTATTCACACCCCTGAGTCAATGCATGTTAGAATCACCTTTGGCAGTGATTACAGCTGTGTGTCTTTCTGGATAAGTCTCGGAGCTTCCCACATTTGGATTGTACAATATTTTCCCATTGATTCTTTAAAAAACTATTCAAGCTCTGTCAAGTTGGTTGTTGATCATTGCTAGACAGCCATTTTCAAGTCTTCCTATAGATTTTCAAGCCGATTTTTAAGACAAAACTCTGACAATGTAGTCTTGGTAAGCATCTCGTGTATATTTGGCTTTGTGTTTTAGGTTATTGTCCTGCTGAAAGGTGAATTTGTCTCCCAGTGTCTGTTGGAAAGCAGACAACCAGGTTTTCCTCTAGGATTTTTGCCTGTGCTTAGCTCTATTCCATTACTTTTTATCATAAACTCCCTAGTCCTTGCCGATGACAAGCAGTATGAAAAATGTATGCACTCACTTAACTGTAAGTCGCTCTGGATAAGAGTGTCTGCTAAATGACTAAAATGTAAGCACACCCATAACATGATGCAGCCACCACCATTCTTGAAAATATGAAGAGTGGTACTTAGTGATGTGTTGTTGGATTTACCCCAAACATAACGCTTTGTATTCAGGATGTAAAGTTAATTTCTTGGCCATTTTCTTCGTTGCAGTTTTACTTCAGTGCCTTATTGCAAACAGGATGCATGTTTTGGAATATTTGTATTCAGTACAGGCTTCCTTCTTTTCACTCTGTCAATTAGTTTTCTCCTATCACAGCCATTAAACTCTGTAACTGTTTTAAAGTCACCATTGGCCTCATGGTGAAATCCCTGAGCAGTTTCCTCTGGCAACTGAGTTAGGAAGGACGCCTGTATCTTTGTAGTAACTGGGTGTATTGATACACCATCCAATGTGTAATTAATAACTTCACCATGCTCAAAGGGATATTCAATGTCTGCTTTTTGGGGGTTTTACGCATCTACCAATAGGTGCCCATATTTGAGGCATTGGAAAACCTCCCTGGTCTTTGTGGTTGAATCTGTTTGAAATTCACTGCTTGAATGAGGGACCTTACAGATGATTGTATGTGTTGGGTACGGAGATGAGGAAGTCATTCAAAGATCATGTTAAACACTCATTGCACATAGTCAGTCCATGCTACTTGTTAAGCACATTTTTACTCCTGCATTTATTCAGGCTTGCAATAACAAAAGGGGTTGAATACTTATTGACTCAAGACATTTCAGCTTTTCATTTTTTTAAATTAATTTGTAAAAATGTCTAACATAATTCCACTTTGACATTATGGGGTATTGTGTGTAGGCCAGTGACACAATCGCAATTTAATATATTTTAAATTCGGGTTGAAACAACAAAATGTTGAAAAATGCAAGGGGTGTGGATACTTTCTTAAGCCACTGTAAATCCTAGATATGTAACTTGATGGATTAGGTGAAACAAGTTAATATAGCCCTAGTTCAATTGTTTCATATTTCAAATAGCCTACAGTAAGCTAAACTACTACATTGCATTCAGTAATTTAAATATTCCGAATGTTTTCCCCGAACAAAATTAAGCCAGTTTACATTTTCACAAGACTATTCACATTAAGACACCTATTAATTAAAATAGTCATTACTCCTAAATTTAACCTAGAAAAATGTAAGCGTCATTGAGACCACCTCAATTTAATTTAGGATCAAACTGTGTTGGCTACATTGTTTGATATAATTTAAGACTCTAGGTTTCAGGAAGTGGCAGTTCGTTTTTTTTTTTTAAAAATGTTGACTGCCCCCCTCCCGGACCTCCTTTCTACCCACCCATAGGCCTACATCAGCACCACATTGTCAGAAGATCCAAGCCTGATTTGTACATTTTAAACATTTCTAGTTAGCTATTGAAGAGCAGCTAATTACCAAGAACCCATAAGTCTGTACCCTACCATTCCTACTGAAGCAGTCTTCTGCAAAGAAAAAAATGCATTTGCCAATGATTTGAGCAGTGTGGGTGTCGCTCGTGCGCTGTCGTGGGGTCTGCAGGGCAGCCGGGGGTGCTGCCGCCGCCGCGGTGTAGTGGTACTCCTAAATAGGATTTAAGGTTGGCAGGTCTGCATCACATCATATGTACCTTTTTTTTAGTGCTGCTTGTAATCATCAAATGCAAAAAAAAAATAATTCAGAGCTATAAAAAATATTGGTGAACACTTCTCCAGCAATGTTCATGAACGGCAAAAGCTATCCATATTTATGCCACCACAGTGCAACGCTACATGTAATGGCTGTCGTTGGGAGTTTTTTAGGTGTGTGCCGTTGGACATATCTGGAATATTATCAATAATCAGCCGAGACAGCCTTGTGGTTTTTGCTGTTATTGTCGCACAAACTCTCACTGTAGGGTTAGCTAATATGTGTAGTGTTATGTAATGTGTACATTGTGTATTTTGCTCTGTTGTAAAAAAATTTTGATGCAGTGTGAACATGAGTTATATACTGAACCAAAATAAACATAAAATGTTGATTCCGATGTTCCATGAGCTGAAATAAAAGATCCCAGAAATTATTTCTCAAATTTTGTGCACAATTTTGTTTACATCCATGTTATTGAGCATTTCTCCTTTTGCCAAGATAATCCATCCACCTGACAGGTGTGGCATATCAAGAAGCTGATTAAAGCAGCATGATCATTACATAGGTGCACCTTGTGCTGAGGACAATAAAAGGCCACTCTAAAATGTGCAGTTTTGTCACACAACACAATGCCACAGATGTCTCAAGTTTTGAGGGAGTGTGCAATTGGCATGCTGACTGCAGGAATGTCAGCCAGAGCTGTTGCCAGATAATTTAATGTTCATTTCTCTACCATAAGCCACCATCAACGTCGTTTTAGAGAATTTAGCTGTACGTCTAATTGGCCACACAACCGCAGACCACGTTTAACCACGCCAGCTCAGGACCTCCACATCTGGCTTCTTCACCTGCGGGATCATCTGAGACCAGCCACCCAGACAGCTGATGAAACTGTGGGTTTGAACAACCTTAGAATTTCTGCACAAACTGTCAGAAACCGTCTCAGGGAAGCTCATCTGCGTGCTCGTTGTCCTCACCAGGGTTTTGACCTGACAGGTCGTACCGCGCTGCATGAGGCAAATGGTGGTCACACCAGATACTGACTGGTTTTCTGATCCACACCCCTACCTTTTTTAACGGTATCTGTGACCAACAGATGCACATCTGTATTCCCAGTCATGTGAAATCCGTAGATTATATTTTTGTTCAGTATATTTAAACGCAACAATTTCTAAGATTTTACTGAGTTACAGTTCATGTAAGGAAATCAGTTAATTGAAAAATTCATTAGGCCCTAATCTATGGATTTCACATGACTGGGACTACAGATATGCATCTGTTGGTCACAGATACCTTTAAAAAAAGGTAGGGGCGTGGATCAGAAAACCAGTCCGTATCTGTTGTGACCACCATTTGCCTCATGCAGCGCAACACATCTCCTTCGCATAGAGTTGATCGTGGCCTGTGGAATGTTGTTCCACTCCTCTTCAATGGCTGTGCGAAGTTGCTGGATATTGGCGGGAACTGGAACACGCTGTCGATCCAGAGCATCCCAAACATGCTCAATGGGTGACATGTCTGAGTATGCAGGCCATGGAAGAACTGGGACATTTTATCAAGTTCAAATTAAATGGAAACCCTATCACTTTTTGTTTTTAAAAGGGTAAGTTCAAATGTATGTTTGGGTCAAAATTAAGTTAATCATAAAAATGGATGATGAATAATTACCCTTTAATGTGTTCAGTTTAGATCATAAAAACTTATCATGGACACATTCATCCAAAACACAATCAAGATTGCTTTCACTATATTTTTCAATATATTTAGACGCAACATGCAACGATTTTAAAATATTTTACAGAGTTACAGTTCATAAGGAAATCCGTTAATTTAAATAAATTCATTAGGCCCTAAAGTGAAAGCAATATTGATTTGTGTTTTGGATGAATGTGTCCATGATATGTTTTTATGATCCAAACTGGACTGAATACATTAAAGGGTAAATGTTCATTCAGTTAAGATTAACTTAATTTTGACCAAACAAATTTGATTAACTTAACCTTTAGTTTTAGAGTAGCTTTTTCCCTGAAATCAGCAGGATAACTGCACATCATTTAGAGTGGCGGAAAACAGTGAAGGATAGCCATGATTTAATGGCATCTCAGAGTGCGATGATGGCTCCAGCCCCTTTATTTCAAGATGCAATGATTTGGACAAATGATTTAAGACAAAGCAAAGAATCTACTCACATTCAATCAGAACAAAAAACTAAAGTTATCTTTTTAGAGATGAGGCTATATACCGAATTCTCAACCAGATACAATTCAAATGTCATGCATTTCACTAACAAGGCTGCAAATTAGACCGATAGCGCCTACTGATCTAAAGTCAATGGTGTCAGGATAGATTAACTTGGAAGAAACACCACCCAACAACAGTCTGAAGATGTAAACCAATTTTTTTTAAAACAAGGTAAAAAAGAGAACATAAAAGTATGATAAACAATTTTAAACTGCATCCAAAAAAATTATAGAAAAGTTTGAATAGAATCTCAAAGTAAACTATATTTCCGCCCAAAAATGAACATAAAAAATATTCTGTAAAAACAGTTTCTTTTAACAGTCTGGGAAAATCACATTCAAAGCAGTTTTTGCATGGAGAAAGGCATGATTCTTCACATTTACCATATAAATATGCTCTGTCCACGTCTGGAGTGTCAGTGGGACACATCCTGTACTGTGCTATCACTTAAGGCTAACAACAAACCGGGTGACGAGAGGCCACTCCTGTGATCTATTCTAACATTTCCCTGATTATCTACGGTTTGTAGTAGCCTTTTACTTCCAGATGGCCGGTTGATCAAATTACATCATCCATTCCTGTTGGGCAGTCACAGTAAATTTCCAGGTCTCTACAATCTGTGAGAGGAGTATCTCGTCCGGGAAGGAGGCCTCCACGTCCGGCAGGACTTCTACTTCTTTGCTGTCCATGTATGCAGCCAACGTCTCTTTGACACTAACAAAGGTAGAATGAGAGAGAGAGGAAAAGTCTTGTGATTTCAGACCTCAATTATATTGTTTAGGGCTTAGGGCCATTAGACTAATGCATACATGCACAAAATAATCCACATTTCCCCTTTTTTTGAAAATTTGAGTGATAGTTAACTTTATTAAGTTTTAGCTTATTTTCAATTTTCCTTGGGTGTTGTCGCTTCCTTCAAAACGAAAAAAAAAAAAAAAGGTTATTTAGCTGGTGATGCAAGCTGTTTCTACTAGCATTGCTACCATAGAAATAAGAATGAATTGAAAGGGCGTCTCCATTCAAGTCAATAATGGCATAATGGGTGGACTGCCAGGAAGTAAAAGCAGTAAGTGTAACCTTCAATCTGTTCTGTGATTTATTGAGTCGACTCAACTCAACTGACAAAAACTGGTCATTTGGATCCTGGATGCTGAGTGGACGAGCAGCGTTCCAAGCTGTGCTGTATTGGCCGTCACAGACACACCTATGCCTGCTTGAAAAAGAAAAGGAGAGCTGCACACTCTAGGAGCTCAGATGCAATCATTTAATAACCTGATAACCAACGTTTTCACACCCGGCCATGATTACAGACACCTGTGTGTGTGTGTCCTTTGACACTATATAAACCAGTGACCCGCAGTGTTTGTCATTATACCCTGAGGAAGACAGCTTGTCTGTCGAAACGTTGGTTATTAGGATATTATTTCATCTGAGCTCATAGAGTGAGGCTTTCCTTTTCTTTTTCAAGTGTTCTACTCCGTCAGCCAGCACCTCTCCTAAACAGGTGTTCTACTCTGCTAGCCAGCACCTCTCCTAAACAGGTGTTCTACTCTGCTAGCCAGCACCTCTCCTAAACAGGTGTTCTACTCTGCTAGCCAGCACCTCTCCTAAACAGGTGTTCCACTCTGCTAGCCAGCACCTCTCCTAAACAGGTGTTCTACTCTGCTAGCCAGCACCTCTCCTAAACAGGTGTTCTACTCTGCTACCCAGCACCTCTCCTAAACAGGTGTTCTACTCAGCTAGCCAGCACCTCCCCTAAACAGGTGTTCTACTCTGCTAGCCAGCACCTCTCCTAAACAGGTGTTCTACTCTGTTAGCCAGCACCTCTCCTAAACAGGTGTGCGTTTCTTTCGCCTGTACAGTGAGGGAAAAAAGTATTTGATCCCCTGCTGATTTTGTACGTTTGCCCACTGACAAAGACATGATCAGTTTATAATTTTAATGGTAGGTTTATTTGAACAGTGAGAGACAGAATAACAACAAAAAAATCCAGAAAAACGCATGTCAAAAATGTTATCAATTGATTTGCATTTTAATGAGGGAAATAAGTATTTGACCCCTCTGCAAAACATGACTTAGTACTTGGTGGCAAAACCCTTATTGGCAATCAAAGAGGTCAGATGTTTCTTGTAGTTGGCCTCCAGGTTTGCACACATCTCAGGAGGGATTTTGTCCCACTCCTCTTTGCAGATCTTCTCCAAGTCATTAAGGTTTCGAGGCTGACGTTTGGCAACTCGAACCTTCAGCTCCCTCCACAGATTTTCTATGGGATTAAGGTTCTGGAGACTGGCTAGGCCACTTCAGGACCTTAATGTGCTTCTTCTTGAGCCACTCCTTTGTTGCCTTGGCCGTGTGTTTTGTGTCATTGTCATGCTGGAATACCCATCCACGACCCATTTTCAATGCCCTGGCTGAGGGAAGGAGGTTCTCACCCAATATTTGACGGTACATGGCCCCGTCCATCGTCCCTTTGATGCAGTGAAGTTGTCCTGTCCCCTTATCAGAAAAACACCCCCAAAGCATAATGTTTCCACCTCCATTTTTGACGGTGGGGATGGTGTTCTTGGGGTCATAGGCAGCATTCCTCCTCCTCCAAACACGGCGAGTTGAGTTGATGCCAAAGGGCTCGATTTTGGTCTCATCTGACCACAACACTTTCACCCAGTTCTCCTCTGAATCAATCAGATGTTCATTCGCAAACTTCAGACGGGCCTGTATATGTGCTTTCTTGAGCAGTGGGACCTTGCGGGCGCTGCAGGATTTCAGTCTTTCACGGCATAGTGTGTTACCAATTGTTTTCTTGGTGACTATGGTCCCAGCTGCCTTGAGATCATTGACAAGATCCTCCCATGTAGTTCTGGGCTGATTCCTAACCATTCTCATGATCATTGCAACTCCACGAGGTGAGATCTTGCATGGAGCCCCAGGCCGAGGGAGATTGACAGTTATTTTGTGTTTCTTCCATTTGCGAATAATCGCACCAACTGTTGTCACCTTCTCACCAAGCTGCTTGGCGATGGTCTTGTAGCCCATTCCAGCCTTGTGTAGGTCTACAATCTTGTCCCTGACATCCTTGGAGAGCTCTTTGGTCTTGGCCATTGTGGAGAGTTTGGAATCTGATTGATTGATTGCTTCTGTGGTCAGGTGTATTTTATACAGGTAACAAGCTGAGATTAGGAGCACTCCCTTCAAGAGTGTGCTCCTAATCTCAGCTCGTTACCTGTATAAAAGACACCTGGGAGCCAGAAATCTTTCTGATTGAGATGGGGGTCAAATACTTATTTCCCTTATTAAAATGCAAATCAATTTATAACATTTTTGACATGCGTTTTTCTGGATTTTTTTGTTGTTATTCTGTCTCTCACTGTTCAAATAAACCTACCATTAAAATTATAGATTGATCATGTCTTTGTCAGTGGGCAAACTTACAAAATCAGCAGGGGATCAAATACTTTTTTCCCTCACTGTATATACACCTATGCCTGCTAACAGTTCCATCTGAAAATGTTCACTGCGCTTCCATAAGAATATCATGTTCATGTTGCTGTCCCAATCATCTCTTGTATTTATCTCAACTCCCCTTGCTTCCTGCCTAGCATTTAGTTTGGTACAGCGGGAGTTAACCTCTAGAAGTCTAAGCAGTTGGGTTGGGGGGGGGTACTAAGCAAACATATGGAATTGTTTTAAGACAGTCATACCATGGATCATTAAGCGGTTTGATTTAGAATTTTAGGACCCCTTTAGGTATATTTTTTAAAAATTAAATATTGAATTTGGGCTTCACTGCTATAGCCCATAGAAATGTATTGAATAACACATTCATATAAATGGCAAAAAAAAGACAGTCCAAAAATGTATCACAAGGAATAAGGTTTTGAAGCGTCTGTCCTGTATCTAGTGGATATAAGACAGCTCAGGAACTCTAAAACATTTTCAAACACATATTTAACCCCTTATTTTTGTTGGCACAAAACTACCTCCATACTTCCATTTGTTTGTACGGGTTACCTTGAGAGGAATCCTGTGACACTTATGGGGGTCACAGAGCTAAACGGAGAACACCATCGTGTTCGTGAGAATCTCCCCTTTCCATTGAGTGGTCATAACCATTCGGACGCTACAGACGTTTTCGTGAGAAAACCGATTTTCGGGATGTCTCGTGGTCTGACAGACACCGCTGTAGCTCGAACACCTTGAGACACAGCCCATGCAAAAAAACTGATATCTCTAGTTTAAACAGACGGATTTTGATGGGTTTTTTTTGTATTATGTTACTTAGATTGACTCTTAAGGATTCATATAAGCCTCGCTGTCTAACTGTTCAACCTCGGAAACAATGTTATCCAAGTAAACACCAATAGGACAACAGCTCAAACACAGGAAAATGCAGCTAGTGTACTGTCATTCCAGGTTCAATATTCAACGTGACAAGAACGTTATCCAGCCTGCATAGCAACCATTTTGTTTAGAATGGACGACCAGTCCTTTTTTGTATAGCAACTACGCAAAAAAATAATGAACGACTGGGTCGCGTCTGTAGCAACATGACTAAAAGAATTAACAACCAGATTTTTGTCCGGACTATATCTTCTGGTGGAAGAATGAAATTGTATGACTTGACTTATCAAAATAAAATTCATGAAAATATGTAATTCATTGTTATTTTTAATATGTTGGTAACAGTTTTATAAAAGCTATCGCGTCGGGCCGTCACTTACCTGTGATTATATTCATGATACAACACTGTGCCTTATTGCTTAAATTACAAAGAATTCATTCCATTGCATGAGCCACATCAGTTAGCATCATTTGAATTAACATTCTACATTACCATGGCAATCCAGCATCAGTTGATGGAACATTCCAAAATACCCAAATTATCGCATCACAATACCAGGCAGCCATTGCGAGTATACCCATGAGTTTACCAGTCAATTGCCAGGGTTAAAGCTTCCAAGGCCGTTCTATTCATTCTTATTTCTATGATTGCTACATACTTCCAAAAAAATGTTAAGACACATTATTCTGGACAGTGCTAAAAAAAAAAAACAGCTAATATATATTTTTTTTTTACGGTTTCGATGAAACAACACACCCCAAGTGGAATACAAGCCACACTAGAAAAGTGAACTATCCCTTTAAAGAGTTACAACAAGTGAATATCATTGCATGGTTTGGAACCTATGATTCGACCCAGTGTTCCTCCATGGCTGCCATTTGACCTCACCTCCAGCCTGGTCCGTAGGTGTCTGAGACATGTGGTTTCCCCAGGTTCAGCAGGAGGAACTCGTGCATCTCCAGCAGCCAGGTGTCAACGTGACCCCTGGAGATGAAGCCCTGGAGCAGCCTCTTCTGTTCCTCCGTCAGGGGCTGCTGGTACTCAGCTGACACCCCAGAGAAAGGGTCCTTGAAGAGGAGAGAGAGAGGGGGGGGGGGGGGAAACTCAGAGCTTTCGCTCTCTCAGCTGTGCGAATTCTAACTTTGAATTTACAATGTAATACGTTTTGGGGTTTAAAAAAAACATTGAACCGTCTCTCAGAAGAGCTCACAGAATGACACGGTCAAGTTATTTTGTGGATGATCGTGTCATGCGCTGTATCTCGTGATGTGCGATAAGCTGTTGGTTGGTCTGAACGTGTCTTACCCTCTTCACACTCTTCAGCATATTCTCTGATTTGAGGGAAGACAGGAGCTGCCACAGAGCCACACAGTGCTTCAGACTGCACCTGCTCAGAGCCTACAGAAACGGGGCCCCGCATAGAAAACACGTTACTGGGCCACAATGACACTTAACTGGAACACTGAAAACAATTCACCACTTGCATTTAAGGTAGAATTAGCGATAAACAGCAACATCTGGTTGATTTCTAAACAACTAAAGAGCGTTGGAAGACGCAAGGCTAAACTTCTCTGCTGTTTTGGTTCACGTTGTAGCAGCGTGAAAAGCGGACGGCCGTGCACACGCACAGAGACTCTGTGTGACTGTGTGAGGCACAAGTATTGCGTCACGTTCATCTCAATGTCTGCAGTGCTGCTCGTGACAACATCATAATAATATAATAATAATAATATAATATGCCATTTAGCAGACGCTTTTATCCAAAGCGACTTACAGTCATGCGTGCATACATTTTTGTGTTTGGGTGGTCCCGGGGATCGAACCCACTACCTTGGCGTTACAAGCGCCGTGCTCTACCAGCTGAGCTACAGAGGACCTCATGTTGCTGAGTCTCAGTTTAAGTTGACATTGACCAACCAAATCATGTGTTTCATGACTTTCACCATTAAGATGTGAGGGTCTGTCTGCTCGCCCATCTTCAGCATGTCCTCCAGGTAGTGGACCAGGGGCATCTGGGAATTTCCCCCAGTCATGGACAGGAAGCCCAGAGCCAGCTCCACGGCCTTCAGGGCCTCACACACCTCGCTGTACGACTGCAGATCCCTGGACAGGGCTGTGAGGGTCAGGGACGGAAGATGCTCCTAGAAGAAACAACAACATTTAATCTTTTTTTTGTGAAGTTAAAGTGAATAATCACATGCCATATTAGAGTATAAACAAAAAAACTAGTTTGATGATGAAGAACGACTTGCCTGAGACACATATCCTTTCACCATTTTGAAAATGGTATCATAATCTCTCTCGTGTCTGGTGACCAGAGTCGGGATTCCCTGAAAGTCAACACATTGGTTCAGTCAGTGAGTGCCATATTACCTTCAACTATAGTACAACGTTCCATTCAGATCTGCGAACACTGAATGGGGTAGGAACTATGGAAAGTGACTAGGGACTGAAAATGGAACCAGGCCATGGACTCACAGTCAGTGTGATGAGAGGCTTGCCCTGCAGGAAGCGGGTGAGGACCTGCTGCTGGATCTTGGGCAGGTCGTACTGAGACAGGGTCTCCTTGCCTCGCTCCAGGCTGTACTGGCAGTTGGACAGCACCAGGGGCAGCAGGTCCTTCTCCAGCTCATAGCGGATCACATGCAGCTCTGTCAGCTCTGACAGGCTCACCTTGTAGCTGTTGGAGCAGACGGTACAGAAAGCAAACCACCTATTCAGTCAACGGGCTTTAAAACACATTTATTTTATACTGTGCGTTATTGCTTTATTAATTGCTTTTGCATATTTTGTTAATTAGTCCACTGTTAATACAATCCCCAATTTGTTTTGCATGTCAGCGGTACATTTTTCAAAATAGAGCACTTTTCAGTACAGAGCAAAAACTGTGGTGATGCAAATGGTCATTTGAACAAATTAACAAAATCCTAACAATATTTGAGTAAAAATCAAATCAAAATCAAATCAAATGTATTTATAAAGCCCTTTTTACATCAGCAGATGTCACAAAGTGCTATACAGAAACCCAGCCTAAAACCCCAAACAGCAAGCAATGCAGATGTAGAAGCACTAGGAATAACTCCCTAGAAAGGCAGGAACCTATGAAGAAACCTAGAGAGGAACCAGGCTCCGAGGGGTGTATAAGAGTACATGGCCATTAAAAAAATGTCCCTTTAAGTAAGTTTTCGGTGGAACCATCTCTCATTCTTCATTAGTGTACCTGGTGTCCTCCCCAGTGTGGCGGTCCACAGCGTGCAGCAGATCATTGTGCAGGGCCACCAGGTGGCTGAGCAGAGCCGTGGAACACAAGCCTGGACCCTGGCGCCGCGGCAGGAGGTACTGGAGGTCACTGTCCAGGTCCAAATCCTCCCTCCAGAAGTCCTCTGGGATCTTTATCTCATCTGCACATCCATCCAAATACACACACACACACACACACACACACACACAATGACAACGTTCATGATTCACAGACAGGAGCTGTCAAACCACACACTAAACAGTAGATTCTTGTTCTTGACTATTAGTTCTGTTCGTATGGGCAACCTGCCATGTTTTATAGAGGACAACTCACTGGTGGCTACAGAGACTCTGAGCAGGTTCCATGTGTTCAGGAAGATCTGGACTCGCTTCTCGTACCACAATCTCATTGGTGCTGTTAGAAGAGAAAATTGATTGAGAACAAAAATGAAATCACTAAATTCTTATTTTTTTAAAGAAATCTATATCAAATTGGCAAAATCGGCAATAACTCGGCTGGTAACTATGTTGCATAGTACCAAGGATGGATTGTTATGATGCAGTTACCTGACTGTCTTTCGATGAACTCTCTGATGGAGTCATCCATCAGGTCGGATGAGTTCTGGAACTTTTTCACCAGACTTTTCTGTAGGGCCAGGATATCTGGAAGGAACTTGACCAGCCGGAACTCCGCCTCCTGTGAAATCACCAAATTAAAAAAGCAGACGATCATGTGATTTTAAAAAACGTCCCAGACTAATTCAAACACGCAAGGTTTAGAAAATATGCTGTTGACATTTTACCACATACAATAGCAAGAAAGAGCACAGCTTTCATAATAATAATAATACATAGTTACATTATACATACTTATAGAACGTTTTCGAAAACCCCAAAAGACACTTCATGACTGTTTACCTTCTGTAGGAACCTCCAGAGTAACGGCAGCTTGTCCTTTCCGTCGTTCTGTTCTACGATGTGGGTGAGGCCGAGTAGGGACACCCTCTCTCTGCAGCTCCAAACCCCTGAACAGTGGACCTGGGAGCCCCGAGGCAGGGAGGACAACGGACACTTGTCCCCAAATGTCACCCTCATGACGAAGTTAGAGGAGACACGGGAGTCGTTTCTGATGGTGGCGTTCATCTCCCTCAGCTGCTGGTCAAGGTGCTGTGATGACACAACAACAACAAACCGTTTGTCATTTTATTCCTTGTCAAAGCTGGAATAGGAGTACCTTTAATCAAGCTGTACAGTACTAGCCAACTGAACATGTTATCCAAAGGGATTCACCTTCAACTGAAGAGTGATGATGTCAGCAGCAACAGTTGTCTCCCAGGCATTTCTGGCCTCTTTAGTTGAGAGTTGGGAATCATAGCCAGCAGGCCCTAGAAGTCAACGATGGGGCTGCTGGTAAATGTGTGCTATACAGTCTCCAAGCATTTTTAAGCTTTCATAATTGTAAACAGTAGAGTTCAGCAGGTACTCGCACTCACGCCATAAAAAGGAAAAAGCCGAGATGTAAAAATATATACAAAAATATAAACAATAAAGCTATTATTTTACTTTACAACGGCACTCTGCGTATTCTTTCCAGCATGGAATTAAATAAAGTATATTTTACATCTGGACCTCCTTGTTTTGTTTCCTTTTTATGGCTTGAGTGTGAATACCTGCCGAACTCAAACAACTCCCTTTCAAACGAATGGCCTTACATTGAGTGGTCGGTGGTGGTTCCAGAATGGATCTGACTATCAGGTGGACAGTGGTGACCGTGTCATCAGTTCCCTTCCCCAGCACTTTGGTCAGCTGATCCATGTCTTTCAGCAGGTGACCAATCAGAAATTCACAGGCGTCCTGGACTGGAGGCTGGATGATCTGCAGGATGGACTAGAAAGAATGGGGAGATTATTATCGTACTCGCACTCAAAACCATGAAAAGGAATAACCCAAGGATAGAAACTCGTTGAAGGTTTTGAAAATCACCAGGTTTTTTTTACTTTTAAATCCTACCCTGTGATGTCACAGAGAAGCATTTTTTTTTTAGGACCTTCTTATCTTTTGAACCGCAGATCATAGACATTTGCTATTTTCACATATGTAGACACTGGTTTGGTGCTGGAGATAACGAATATGGGGTTGAAAAGGTCCAAACCTCATGTCTCTATCATAATCTGTTAAGAAGCTTTTCACCCTTGTAGGATGGCCAGAATTAGGGTGACTAAATGAAATGGGGGCCAGAGAGAAGAAAAGTGGTCAAACATTTTTAACATTGCATTGCGTCAGCTAGGCTGGATTCTGAAGGCCACTGACAGGCTCACTTTCCTGTTGAACTCATTATCGTTCTTCTTGAACCCGCAGGACATGAAACATTTTAGAGGTAAGATAAAAATATTGATTTTGAGACATGATGTAGTATTTTAAATTTTTTAGTAAACACTTTTCATATTAATTCGAAATTCCTGTTCTTTTTCAAAGATTTCTCAAAAAAACAAGTGTATCTCTGAAATGTTAACATTTTTATTACATTTTAGTCATTTAGCAGACGCTCTTATCCAGAGCGTCTTACAGTTAGTGAGTGCATACATTTTCATACTGGCACCCCCCGTGGGAATCGAACCTACAACCCTGGCGTTGCAAGCACCATGCTCTACCAACTGAGCTACCGGAGGCCTTAATGGAGCACTGAGCGTATACCAAGCGTTATATTTTCAAAGCCTTTTACATTTAATTCAGCTCGTGTCATGGCACATTTTGCTTTTAGCGACACGCAAAAACAACTTTGAAGGCGACGACCACAACCATTTTTAAATCCTCAAAAGTTGTTACTAGAAACCTGCACCGCTATGTCAACAGAGCTCGATGCTTATAAATCGGATGTATTATATGTTATGAAATCCGACTTTAATGTTGATGATATGTCAGAGAAAGAACCCACTGAACAATTAAGAACATTATCATATTTATTGGTCAAATGTATTTTATAATAGAAGGAAGTGGAATTTCATCACCAAAGCACGTTTTCACTCTGGGCAGAGTGGGTGGACACCCTACTTAATTAAGGCACTGTTCTTTCACACACTGTACCGATAAAGCTAGAAAGAGTGGGCAGCCTTTGGCAGACAAGGCCTACCTGTGGCTGCTCTGAGGCCCCTCTCAGCATGGCCAGGTGGGTGAGCAGTCTGACCAGGATGAAGGGGGTGAGGGACATGTTTTTGGTGTCCAGGGTGTCTGGGTTGTCCCTCCTCTGAGGGTCTCCCAGGATGTGGCCAGTCCTTGTGAGATCTCCCCTAAGAGGACACGTTCAGTTATTGGTCATGACATGAATTCTGGAGCCATGTATCAAACGTATCAGAAAACACTCTTAGAAAAAAGAAGAACCCTTTGAATAACCTTTTTTTTTGGGGTTCCAGGTAGAACCCTTTTTGGTTCCAGATTGAACCCTTTGGGGGGGGGGGGGGAATCCATATAGAACCCTCTGTGGAAAGAGTTTTACATGGAACCCAAAGGGTTCTACCAGGAACCAAAACGGGTTCTTCAAAGGGTTCTCGTATGGGGACGGCCGAAGAACCCTTTTTCTAAGAGTGTAGGAGTGCTGGATCTAGGATCAGGTCCCTACTCTTATGTATTATAATTTTAAAGTCCAAACTGATCTAAGATCAGCGATCCTAATCCGATGCTTGGGCAGTAATATCAACGGTGGGCCCTTAGAGAGCTAACTTACTGCTGTAGATCCATCTTCTGGAAACCAGTCAAGGGCAACATGGTCCTCCCCTCCAATCTCCGCCTTACACTCCAGACATTGTGCCCTATGGGTGGGCTGACCACACTGCAATAGAGTGGGTAAATCGGTTGGCTGTTTGCTTAGCTAATATTCGTGACGCAATATTTACATGAAGAACTTTGCTCACCTTATCCACAACACAGGGGTGACCATTCGGACAAGCTGTTGAGATTTGAGTCAAAACTGAGCTTATGCAGAAATGTCACTGTTTTTTTTTTTACCAGAATTTTTTTTATTACATCTGAAAATGACAATCCATTTCCAACAGTAGATATCCATAACATAGTTCCTGTCTATATGCTTCCTATAGCACGATGTTAACAAATACAATTTCACAGAGGTATAACTCCAACGATTTACTCAAAGTTTAAGTTACAGTACAAGCGTATCTCAAGTTAGGATTCAACATTTCTGTACTTACAGTACCAGGAGAGTCCATAATCCACTTCATTCTGTGCTATAAGCCTTTGAGCGACAGCAAGCATGTCCTCAGGCATTGTGGGTAGAAAGGCACTCTGTTGGGGGGGTAGACATAAGCAGATAAAGACAACTCTCACATTCAACGAAGAGAAACAAGTCAATGTAAGACATTGACAGGTGCTGATGAGAATCATACCAGCATATTGTCGGGAGACAGGCCAAGCTGCTGTAGCGGTTTAAGCACCCCTTCTGTCCCAGTGAGCAGTACAGCAGCCAAGTGGACAGCCAGGTCTATAAGGGTGTGCTCCACGCTGGACCGGTCAGCCAGGACACTCAGTCCTGCCATCCTGTTGTGAACCAATTTTGTGGCAAATACCCTCACTTCCCTGCGATTTAGGTACCTTGAGCCCTGGATGAAGTCCTCGAGTTCTTGGCATTGCTGAGGGAGTAAAACAAAGTCAGCCATTTTGGATAAGTGTAATTGGGATTTTCGGGAAATCTACAAAAGTCAATTTAATTCAAAGTATAATTATGACAACATCAAAATCTGAATAGTTTGCCAAGTCTATCGTTAGTTGTGGGCTAACAGTTTTTCCTCTGATGTGGAGTTGGAGGAGGTGGTCTAATGTGTGTTCCTTAAGGGTGGGGTGGAGGGGTGGAGGCCTTAGGGGTGGGGTGGAGGCCTTAGGGGTGGGGTGGGGTGGAGGCCTGTGTTCCTACCTTAGGGGTGGGGTGGAGGCCTGTGTTGGCTGCTCGGTACAGACTGGTAACTTCTCTGAAAAGTGCCAGCAGGACATACAAGGTCCGCCTCCTTGGAGGTGCAGTGCATCTCTACAACAAAACAACACACAAAGCTGAGGACAAATTCACCAAACATCCATAAACTGAGAGAGTTAGAAATCCTTTTTTAATAAAACAAAACACACACACACACACAGTGGTAGTGGAGTTACACTAATACCTGACACGTCTCCTCAATCTCCTGAACACTGCCCTCTAGTATTGCTTTGGCAACAGCCTCGCGGACAGCCTGGTAGTCCTCTCCATAGACCAGATACTGGTCCATCTGGCCAACGTCTTCATTCTGCATACGAGACGATGGAAGACCCATTACTCTTGATATCTAGAACATCGTCCTTGACAGTATATGGCTAGGAAATACACGTCGTTGTATCTAACCACTCAGGTCCTCTTTAGAAACACGCCTGTAAGCAATAGGAGGACAGCAAACAGGACCGACATTTTTTCAATAGTTCAAAATGGGGTTGTACGAAACATTTCACGAAACCCTGTGATGTACCTGCTGCTGTATCTCTTCAGGGAAAAGCCACCTGTACTTCTCTGTATCCTTCAGCATCCTCTGGACACACTCTACACCCTGCTGGCTGCTGATGTTGCGGATCAGGTAAACCCGGTACCAGTCGTTCTTACTCTCCTCACACAGGATCATAACAGCACACAGGAACTCCTCGACCACATCCGGAGGGTTTTCACATTCCCCTGCACACGACACGAGGAACCGAGGACAGATCTTGGATCAAGTCAGTCAAAGTGATTGCAAGTATTCCTTATAAAAACATTCCTTATTAAAACAATTAGAATTCATTTTACACCAACAAAACACAATTGTAAAGCAACATGGAGCAGAATTTGTGACGCTCTATTGATTTGAGTGTTTTTACCAGACTGTGTGCTATGGAGTAGGTGTGAGGCCATGTCCAGGCATAGACGGACCCTCGCGATCTGTTGCAGGTGCTCGATTGTGACCGTCTCAGCCGACTCGATGACAGAGTCCAGGAAGTGACGCAAGAACTCAGTCTCTTTCGGCAGGTAGGTCTGCTGATCTGCAGGCTTGTGGCATTCATGTGGCATTCTGTCTAACATGGAGTCCTGCACAGAAAAACAGTTATTCTATTTATTTAACCTTTATTTATCCAGAAAGTCCCGTTGAGGTTAGAAGACCCCTTTTACAAATAGGATAGTGATAGCACTCCATTGACTGAGGGTCAAATCCTGTCAGATCCTACCTCAAGGCAGTTGATGTAGAGGGCATAAAGTTCATTTTTATCCTCAGCCTCTAGAATGTTGCTCTCCTCTATCGATGTCAAATACTGCTGCAGATATTCTTTGACTTCATCAAAGCTAAAAACAAAACAAAAATAGTACATTTTCAGGCAAATGTTTGACAACATCTGAAATGTTTGACAACGTCTGAAACCAAACTGAATTGCGTTGCTGGTTACAGCAACATTGCAAAGGATACACTACATGACCAAAAGTATGTGGACATCTGCTCTTCCAACACCTCATTCCAAAATCATGGGCATTAATATGGAGTTGGTCCCCCCTTTGCTGCTATAACAGCCTCCACTCTTCTGGAAAGGCTTTCCACTAGATGTTGGAACATTGCTGCGGGGGACTTACTTCCATTCAGCCACAAGAATATTAGTGAGATCGGGCACTGATGTTGGGCGATTAGGCCTGGCTCGCAGTCGGCCTTACAATTCATCCCAAAGGTGTTCGATGGGGTTGAGGTCAGGGCTCTGTGCAGGCCAGTCAAGTTCTTCCACACCGATCTTGACAAACCATTTCTGTATGGACCTCGCTTTGTGCACGGGGGCATTGTCATGCTGAAACAGGAAAGGACCTTCCCCAAACTGTTGCCACAAAGTTGGAAGCACACAATCGTCTACGTCATTGTATGCTGTAGCGTTAAGATTTCCCTTCACTGGAACTAAGGGGCCTAGCCCAAACCATGAAAAACAGCCCATGACCATTATTCCTCCTCCACCAAACTTTGCAGTTGGCACTATGCATTCGGGCAGGTAGCGTTCTCCTGGTATCCGCCAAACCCAGATTCGTCCGTCGGACTGCCAGATGGTGAAGCGTGATTCATCACTCCAGAGAACGCGTTTCCACTGCTCCAGAGTCCAATGGCGGCGAGCTTTACACCACTCCAGCCGATGCTTGGCATTGCGCATGGTGATCTTAGGCTTGTGTGCGGCTGCTCGGCCATGGAAACCCATTTCATGAAGCTCCTGACGAACAGTTATTTTGAGGACGTTGCTTCCACTCTGTAGTGAGTGTTGCAACCGAGGACAGACGTTTTTTACGCGCTACGCGCTTCAGCACTCGGAGGTCCCGTTCTGTGAGCTTGTGTGGCCTACCACTTTGCGGCTGATCTATTGTTGCTCCTAGACGTTTCCACTTCACAATAACTGCACTTACAGTTGACCCAGGGACAGCTCTAGCAGGGCAGAAATTTTACGAACTGACTTGTTGGAAAAGTGGCATCCTATGACGGTACCACATTAAAAAGTCACTGAGCTCTTCAGTATGGGCCATTCTACTGCCAATGTTTGTCTATGGAGATTGCGTGGCGGTGTGCTCGATTTTATACACCTGTCAGTAACGGGTGTGGCTGAAATAGCCAAATCCACTAATTTGTTGTCCACATACTTTTGTATATATAGTGTATAAACGACGCTTTTGCCTGGTTCACTCACGTGTACTTGAGCAGGAGTTTGAGTATCACTGATCGCACCACAGGATTCTTGTCCAGAGACTCATCAAATGGTGAGAAATCTTTGGTGTGTATCTGACTTTGTGCTGATACAAATACAATACAATTAGAAACACTAATACAAACACTTACTGAGCCACAATCTTCCCTCCTGTCTGTTAAATAAATAGAGGAACAAACAGAATGTAAACTCTATATTTTGGGCTAGTGTGTTTGAGTGTGTTTGTGGGGGTACCTCTGATGAGTGGGATCGGTTCTGTCTCAACCATGAGGAAGGACAACAGGTGTAGGACGACACCCTTTGATGGGGGGATGTTGTCCTTGAAGCACACAGTAGTGACCAGGTCTATGAAAAACGCATTGCAACTCTGCCTGAACCGGGCGTTTAGGGTGATGCGAGCTCTGCAGAACCATAGTAGACAGATTAAGACAGTCACTGGGAAAGACATTTCCTTTGTCATGGTCTCAGTGTCCAGATTAAAAAGGGTAAAACACACCCACCTTACGTCCTCAGACACTTTGACCTGGAAGTCATCTGGGAGTTCGTGTTTGCATACGGGGCAGTACATTTGGCCTGTGTTGAGACATCCTCTGACACAGGTCAGACAGAACATGTGGTGACAGGGCAGGTCTACAGGGTCATGGGGTTCCCCCATGCACACACGGCACTGGAAACCAAACCTAAGAAAAAAAATTCACTGCCGTTATTAACATCAAATTCTGTATATCAGCCACAGCAAATAATGTAGACATATAATATGAATAGCGTTTTACACTAAATAAATTATAACAAATAGACCTACTTCCAAATCAGATCACTTGCTCTTTGCTTGCAAGTCTTCAGTACTGTGATGATGGCCGCAAAGGGTTCCTCCGATTTTACGTCTGAGTTTTTTGCCAGAATCTTCCACACGAGAGAAAATTTGCAGTCACATAGATTAGTTAAAATGAAACGATGAGTTCGGTACTTTACAACATAATGTTGGACGGTTCTTTACCCTGAAAGTAGTCTATGAGCCAGGAGAAACTGTAATTCATGGTTAGGATACAGCTACAAACACAGCTACAAAAAGGTGCTAACTTTAGCCATAGCTAGCTTTAGCAATCCATGGGAGTGCTGAGGGCAACCGTGCAACGTTCTGTTCCAAACCACCTTTAATTAACGTCCAACCAATTCAGTTGATTTCAGTTGTTCTGGCCACGAAATGTAAAAAAAAATTACAAAGTTGTCGCCCATTACTCCCATTGATTTTTAGCTAGTGGTGTCAAAAGTTAACTGAAGTTTCAGGGTAAGGAACCCTTTAAACATTCACTTGTAAAATACAGAATTTATCCTTTAAGCACAAAGTTCAATGCAATACGTTAACATAGTTCAAGAGCTCAGGTTTACATAATTATATACATAGTTTAAGTCTGACGCTAAACCTGAAATATGGGATGGAAATAAATAATGTATAAAGAAACACAAACACAGAAATATAAAACGTCATTGGTAGCATGTTGACTTAAACAACAAAAATATACTATTAAACTCACTTTGCCTAAGGTACGAGTGTGATCAAGGACCAGAGACTTGAGCTCCCTCTCCTCAAACTCAAAGCCTAGCAGCATGTGTTCCACAAACAGAGAGATGATGCAGATGCGGTTCCAACCATTACTAAAAACACAAAACAAACAAGGAGAAATCTTTACTCATTCTGGAGGAATTAAGCTACTGTAATAAAATATGATCAAATACAGACTTAAACAATTACTAGCTTGTATATATATATATATATATAAAAGCAGTCAAAAGTTTGGACACACCTACTCATTCCAGGGTTTTTCTTAATTTTTTACAATTTTTTTAATATTGGGTATACAGAAGATAGCCCTATTTGGTAAAAGACCAAGTCCATATTATGGTAAGAACAGCTCAAATAAGCAAAGAGAAACGACAGTCCATCATTACTTTAAGACATGAAGGTCAGTCAATGCGGAACATTTCAAGAACTTTGAACGTTTCTTAAAGTGCAGTCGCACAACCATCAAGCGCTATGATGAAACTGGCTATCATGAGGACCGCCACAGGAAAGGAAGACCCAGAGTTACCTCTGCTGCAGAGGATAAATTAATTAGAGTTAATTGCACCTCAGATTGCAGCCCAAATAAATGCTTCACAGAGTTCAAGTAACAGACACATCTCAACATCAACTGTTCAGAGGAGACCGCGTGAATCAGGCCTTCATGGTTGAATTGCTGCAAAGAAACCACTACTAAAGGACACCAATAAGAAGAAAAGACTTGCTTGAGCCACGAAACACAAGCAATTGACATTAGACCGGTGGAAATCTGTCCTTTGGTCTGATGAGTCCAAATTTGAGATTCTTGGTACCAACCGCCGTGTCTTTGTGAGACGCAGAGTAGGTGAATGGATGATCTCCGCATGTGTAGTTCCCACTGTGAAGCATGGAGGAGGAGGAGGTGTCATGGTGTGGGGGTGCTTTGCTGGTGACACTGTCTGTGATTTATTTAGAATTCAAGGCACACTTAACCAGCATGGCTACCACAGCATTCTGCAGCGATACGCCATCCCATCTGGTTTGCACTTAGTGGGACTAGAATTTGTTTTTCAACAGGACAATGACCCAAAACACACCTCCAGGCTGTGTAAGGGCAATTTGACCAAGAAGGAGAGTGATGGAGTGCTGCAACAGATGACCTGGCCTCCACAATCACCTGACCTCAACCCAATTGAGATGGTTTGGGATCAGTTGGACCGCAGAGTCAAGGAAAAGCAGCCAACAAGTGCTCAGCATATGTGGGAACTCCTTCAAGACTGTTGGAAAAGCATTCCTCATGAAGCTGGTTGAGAGAATGCCAAGAAAGTGCAAAGTATCCATACTTCCGCCCTTATAATAATAATGGTGGTAAAAACTCAAGCTTTACTACTTTATTCCAACATGTGTGGAATTCTGAACTTTCTTCACCTCTTTCGCAATGCATATTGACTTTCTTTAAAAAAGTCAAATAAAGAGAAATAAAGAAAGTCAAAATGGCCCTCTGTAGTCTTTTCAAAGGGACATTTCCCTCACCGGATGTAGTCAAACCGTTCCCAGCTCCTCTCTCCATACTGCTTCAGGCTTCCCTGGGAGCAGATCAGCTCCATAGACGCCTGAAGTCCTTTCACCTGCTTCAGCCAGTCCTGGCACTGGGTATCAGAGTCCAATGCAAGCGGCTCCAGGAGCTCAACACAGGCAACTGCTGCATAAACATCCAGAACCTGTGTGGCAGAAACATGGTATACAGTGAGGGGGAAAAAAGTATTTGATCCCCTGATGATTTTGTACGTTTGCCCACTGACAAAGAAAATGATCAGTCAATAATTTTAATGGTAGGTTTATTTGAACAGTGAGAAACAAAAAAAATCCAGAAAAAACGCATGTCAAAAATGTTATAAATTGATTAGCATTTTAATGAGGGAAATAAGTATTTGACCCCCTCTCAATCAGAAAGATTTCTGGCTCCCAGGTGTCTTTTATACAGGTAACGAGCTGAGATTAGGAGCACACTCTTAAAGGGAGTGCTCCTAATCTCAGCTTGTTACCTGTATAAAAGACACCTGTCCACAGAAGCAATCAATCAATCAGATTCCAAAAGATTGTAGACCTACACAAGGCTGGAATGGGCCTACAAGACCATCGCCAAGCAGCTTGGTGAGAAGGTGACAACAGTTGGTGCGATTATTCGCAAATGGAAGAAACACAAAAGAACTGTCAATCTCCCGAGGAATCAGCCCAGAACTACACGGGAGGATCTTGTCAATGATCTCAAGGCAGCTGGGACCATAGTCACCAAGAAAACAATTGGTAACACACTACGCCGTGAAGGACTGAAATCCTGCAGCGCCCGCAAGGTCCACCTGCTCAAGAAAGCACATATACATGCCCGTCTAAAGTTTGCCAATGAACATCTGAATGATTCAGAGGAGAACTGGGTGAAAGTGTTGTGGTCAGATGAGACCAAAATGGAGCTCTTTGGCATCAACTCAACTCGCCGTGTTTGCAGGAGGAGGAATGCTGCCTATGACCCCAAGAACACCATCCCCACCGTCAAACATGGAGGTGGAAACATTATGCTTTGGAGGTGTTTTTCTGCTAAGGGGACAGGACAACTTCACCGCATCAAAGGGACGATGGACAGGGCCATGTACCGTCAAATCTTGGGTGAGAACCTCCTTCCCTCAGCCAGGGCATTGAAAATGGGTCGTGGATGGGTATTCTAGCATGACAATGACCCAAAACACACGGCCAAGGCAACAAAAGAGTGGCTCATGAAGAAGCACATTAAGGTCCTGGAGTGGCTTAGCCAGTCTCCAGACCTTAATCCCATAGAAAATCTGTGGAGGGAGCTGAAAGTTTGAAACCTTAATGACTTGGAGAATATCTGCAAAGAGGAGTGGGACAAAATCCCTCCTGAGATGTGTGCAAACCTGGTGGCCAACTACAAGAAACGTCTGACCTCTATGATTGCCAACAAGGGTTTTGCCACCAAGTACTAAGTCATGTTTTGCAGAGGGGTCAAATACTTATTTCCCTCATTAAAATGCAAATCAATTTATAACATTTTTGACATGCGTTTTTCTGGATTTTTTTGTTGTTATTCTGTCTCTCACTGTTCAAATAAACCTACCATTAAAATTATAGACTGATCATTTCTTTGTCAGTGGGCAAACGTACAAAATCAGCAGGGGATCAAATACTTTTTTCCCTCACTGTAGTTACTGGCCATGGTTACTATGACATTTCTATCAGCATGTTGGCAGCCTCATTTCAATACAGTATGTACTGTACATTACCTGGTAAAAGTTCAACTACCATCATACATTCATATATACTGTATGTTCAACTACTATCATACACTCATATATACTCTATACACAAACATTTGGCACAAAACAAAAACAACTTGATTTCTCATAACTAAATGCGGCAAATATATGCACTTACCATCTCTGGACTGTCCTTCACTAGTGTGATTTTCTGCAAGTGAGGAACCACCTGTGGTTGCAGGGACATCATCCTGGTGAGGTTGTGCAGACGGGTACGGTACATGTTGTAGGCAGAGTGGATCAGGGGCAGGGAGGGAATCTCTTCACTTGGAGCTTTTCGTCGTCTCTGGAGCTCATTCACACAGCAGTTCAGGGCTTCACACAGATGCTGGGAAAATAGTGTTACATATATTCATTAGGATCACCTAATATTATGACTGTAAATAGAAATGGAGGACTATTGTTTTACTATTTGTGTGTATTGAAAACATGATGATGTTGCAAAGGCATACCTTTAACTCCCCATCTGAAGCCACTTTCATCGTCATGGCAATGAAGTCCTGCAGGTATCTTTGGAAAAATTCCCTCTGCAGTTTCTCATCCACTGTAGCCAGATACTGACCAAGGGGGATTTTCTGAAAGAACGCCTCGACCCGTCCTTCCAATAAAAAAATTATAAATGATTATGAGGTTATACAATGAGAATTATGCAACTAAAATACTGTAAGTAGTCCGTCCACATGAGAATTAAGAAATACACCTTTGCGAATCATTTCTCACATTTCCATGAACTATACAATTATAATCTAACTGTATCGTTCATTTAAAAAAATATATATATAAATTAAAGGCATTCAATTATTTACTTCCGTATTGCATCACTAGTTCATCCAGGATATCTCTGATCCTCCAACTGAAGGGCATGGTGCAGCACATGGTCCTCTTAGCTGTGACATGGCTCTGCACCAGGATGGTCTTCGAGTCAGAACTGTGGGAAATGGGGAGTTTGTTAGCTGTGACATGGCTCTGCACCAGGATGGTCTTAGAGTCAGAACTGTGGGAAATGGGGAGTTTGTTAGCAGTGAGCATCTGCAGCACCCCCCATCCTTTTTTACGCTGCTGCTACTCTGTTCATTATTTATGCATAGTCACTTTAACTCTACACACATGTACATATTACTTCAAACTACCTCAACTAGCCGGTGCCCCCCGCACATTGACTCTGCACCGGTACCCCCCTGTATATATAGCCTCCCTACTGTTATTTTATTTTACTTCTGCTCTTTTTTTTTCTCAACACTTTTTTTGTTGTTGTTTTATTTTAATTTTATTTTTTGTTAAAAATAAATGCACTGTTGGTTAAGGGCTGTAAGCAAGCATTTCACTGTGATGTCTGCACCTGTTGTATTCGGCGCATGTGACCAATAAAATTTGATTTGATCTACCTGTTCCATTGAGACATAACACAAAACCCTTACTCCATGCAGTCCAGTCGTTTCTTATTCCAGTATGTGTATCATCACACATAAATCACTCACTTGGGATCCACATTAGGAATATCAAGCATCTCGTTACTGCCAAATATCTTCAGCCACAGGTTCCGGACTTCCTTCCCGCTGTTGCGGTCCAGCAGGAGGTCCAGATTACAGTCCCTGTCGATGACCGAGACCAACTGGGCCAAGAGGGGTGTGACCACTGCTTTGATTCTCTTCCACAGAGTTTGTCTGTGGAACAAAACACAGTATGGACTGACTCTACTTCCGAAAACGATGACAAAACCAAATAACCATTTTGAAAATGAATGAAATTATAGATTTTTTTTCCGTATGCAGAGTAGTGCAGCATCGTTGATTAACGTACGTGAAGGTTCCCCCCTCCTGAAGAGCATCGATGTTGGACGCCTCCGTTAACACCCAGTTCTTGGGGGAGGGGATGTTTCGCTCACGGTTCTCCAGTAGAGAGTGAAGACGGCTTCTCAGGGTTGTCAGGAATGCAGCTTAAGGGCACAATACAGAGATCAAGCATTTAAATTCATGTAAAAGACAGTTACCTTTAGCTACAGTATTTGCTTGCTGTTACAATCTGAGATAAGTGTTCGTCTCAGACGTTCTATTTTTCGATCTAGAGCCCCTTTCTAATGAAATGGTCGGGTAAGCCCACATGAAAAAGTACTATAGTATATTATGGTATAAATACTATAGTATTTGCTATAGTGTTTTTGCAGATTTTACTGTAGTATTAACTGTAGTATACTGCAGTATTTACAGCTAACTATAGTATAAATTACTGTCGTAAAAAATTTATGCACGCATGACTGTAAGTCGCTTTGGATAAAAGCGTCTGCTAAATGGCATATTATTATTATTATTATATTATTAAAAGAAAACGGTAGTATTAGTATAGTGTTTTTGCGGACATTACTGTACTATTTACTTCTGTGTTTTTTGGTGTGGAAAATCATGTAGTATTTACTATAGTATTCTACAGTATACTACTACAACATTCTATAGTGAGTACTACACATTATCAAGGGCTCCTACAGTGTGTAGTATAGTGTTCTACATTACACCACAGCGTTGTTGAATACTTGTTTTTGATTGGCTAGAAGGGCATTCAAGAATGGGCATTAAAACCAGATAATGGACAGTTGGAAAACATATTGGGACACCTTGCGATCATGACGCAATATCCGCCTACACATGCAGACCGTACTTGCTACAAAGTTACAGAAAGCTAAACCAACAGCCACACAAACCAAAATTGGATACATTGTAAACACAGGTCCAACCAGGAAAAACTCTGCTAGTTATCTACTTTTTTTGGAGCATCTGATGACCTAACGTGGTGAGTGATGAACATTAATTTTATCTTGTCCCTACTGTTGCAGTCATGACGCAAGTGGCGCTATGCTGTCAAATCCTCCCCACATGTTTCTAGTTTGACCAGCTGTTTTAAGCAACTGATATTTACAGGTTCACTAGCAACAAACGATTTAGCTAGCTTCTAGCCTAGTGTTTGATATGCAATGCGATCTCCTTGTAAAGAACAGTGTTGTGTGTCCTGACGAGAAGGCAAACTTTTCTAGCTATGCCAGGCAAAAATCGGGCATCATCAGATTGTTATGGATGTATCCAAATGAATGTCAATAGAAAACAGCTTAAATAAATGCAAATGCAGCTACTTTGCTGTTATTCTATGTGGGGCGGCAGGTAGCTTAGTAGTTAAGAGCGTTGTGCCAGTAACCGAAAGGTTGCTGGTTCTAATCCCCGAGCCGACTAGGTGAAAAATCTGTCGATGTGCCCTTGAGCAAGGCACTTAACCCTAATTGCTCCTGTAAGTCGCTCTGGATAAGAGCGTCTGCTAAATGACTAAAATGTAAATGTAAATTCTGGCAGTAGAGGTTGTAAATGTGTTAGCCGTAGCCATTTGGCTAGCTAGCAAAAAAGGATAAGAACTTTGCCAGTGAGCATGGCAATGGAACACATATAGAACGAACAACTGGCCACGCCCATAAATATCGAATAAACGACTGGGTCGCATCTCTAGCAACCGAAAGTATGAATTCGCTTTTATAAACATGCAAATATCAATATATATTTTTTTGTTTCTTAAATGTCTGCTTTAGTATTCTGTTCTTTGGCAACCGTGGTATTAGCGGGATAAACAACCTCCTTTCAATACCTATTAACTTGAAAAAAAATACAGACTTTGCAAAGGGACTCGTCTCCGCCTTGTCCCGCTGCGTCGTCCATTATCTCCAAGGTAATGTACAGAACGTTGGCGTTTATCCCTTACACATACTACAACATTCTATAGTAAGAACTACAGGATGGAGGGATACTACAGTGTGTCGTAATACTGTTCCAGTTTATTACAGAATTCTACAGCAAGTACTGTAGTATTTTATAGTGAACTGTAGTGAGAGGGTTCTAGGTCTTGTCTTTAACCTCTGAAACTACATTATAAACTGGGTGGTTTAAGCCCTGAATGCTGATTGGCTGAAAGCTGTGGTATATCAGACCGTATACCACGGGTATGACAAAACATTTATTTTAACTACTCTAATTACATTGGTTACCAGTTTATAATAGCAATAAGGCACCTCGGGGGTTTGTGATATATGGCCAATATATCACGCTAAGGATATTGCGTCGTGCTTAAGAACAGCCCTTAGCCGTGGTATATTGGCCATATACCACACCCCCCATCGGGCCTTATTGCTTAAGTAACACACTGGAAATATTGTGGGTTAGTAACCTTTCAGGTCCTCGCTATCGTCCAGAAGTGTTAGCAGGAGCTCCACCCTCCTGGTGCTGAGAGCTCCACTGTCCTCCTGATCTCTGAGCATGCTCACTGCACTCTGCACACAGCTTCGCACCAGATTTGTGACATCAAACTCAGCCTAAAACAACAACATCCTCACATGAATAACACACCCATACCTTGTTAGGTTTACAGATGCCAGAAGCGCCTGCATGTCATAATCAAGAACTGCAATACAAAAACCTGTTTACAATATGTAGTATACGAGTATATAATACTTACAGAGTGCTCTGCCGCATGTGCCTCGAAGTCTGTGTCATCTGTTTGCATTGCTGGAATAAGAAAGAAAACTATGAAAAAACTAATTATCAAGGATTATTTACAGTTGATTCCCAACTATGGCATCTGCGCTACTGAGCATAATAACAGTGACTATGTTGTGGGCAGAGCATGTCACTTGCAACGAAAGGGTCGTGGTTTCTCTTCCCGCTGAGGCTACCCATAAAAATGGTCTGTAAGTCATTTTGGATATTTATCATTTATAAGACAAGTAAAATGTACCCTCGGGCGGCTCCTCAATGCTCTCAAAAAGCTGGCTGATGGGTAGGTTTCTCAAGGACTGGACATCTGATACAAACTCTTTGGATTTTCTAAGATCGTCAATGTGAACTGATTTCCAGGGTCCTGTGCAAAGAAAAATAGGATGGAAATTGCATACCGGTAAATATTAAAGAAAAGAGAAACCGCCACACTGCACTGCCTTGAGACCGATACGTAAAGCTTAATAAAGAACAGTGATACTAGCGAGAGCAGTGTGCTGCTTTCTCTTTTCTTTCATGTTATTCAATTGTTACCGTGCAAAAAAATTATTAAATCAGCCTGTTGTATAGCATTTAACATAACTCACCTCCATGAAATCCAGCATAGGAGGTTCCACCTTCAATTCGGGGCAGTTTGGTAACAAAGTACACAAACACCCTTCCGTTGTCACCATCTGCTTTTGGTTTGTTTACTTCATTTATGGATGAATATCTGAGGAGATACAAAGATCAAACATATAAAAAATTAAAAATTAAAGTAAAACAATACAACAGTATAACCTAATAATTCAGTTTATAACCTAATACAATAGTTGTGATGACAAATCTTAAATGAGAATCACTCACTTGGCAGATGCCAGAATGTTCATGCTCTGGGAACCCTCATCATAGTCTGTTTGGATGATGAGGACTTTGTCGGCAGATGTGGAGTCAATAAATTGCCTAGAGAGAACACAGTTATTTTCCTAATCCTATATCATTCTTATGAATGCTCTACAAGGTTACACCCACACCCACAAATGATACAATTAGGGTTGCAAAATCCTGGTTGGAAAATTCCTAGAATCAGAGGGGAATAAGCAGGAAATCTAGGAATCTTCCAACCGGGGGATTTCTGGAAAACCTGGACATTTTGGGAAAGTAATTGGAATTGTGCAACCCCTATACACAACTGAGCTTTTGTTCACATTTTTTAAGCAGACCTGATTTCTTTGAGGAAGGAGTGCTCTGTGTCAAACTGTTGCAGTGAGAGTAGCTTGACGTTGCAACGCTCTGTGATGTTCTGTAGCTGATGGATATCTGCTGCTGTCAATAGCCGGGAAAATGTTGTGACCTTTAAAAAGAGCAAAAAAGATTTATGAGCTATATAAGATGCATTCTATTCAAGGTATATTCTTAAAAAGATAAGATTCACGTGAATTACCTCGGTAAAGTGGTAATTCCTCCATTCATCCTTTTGTGTGTGAGAGGCAATGAAGTCTGCCAGGGAATGATGATTCTGCTCCTCAAAATAGATTTGCGTCAGGTTCTCGGTCTCAACATCAGATAATTTAGTCCCGTCAAGCCGAATGACAGAATCTGGAGTTGCACAGTTCAGCATGATGAGCTTGGCTTCATCCAGGACTCTGCTCTGAGAGTCAGCTTCGTCAGACTCGGTTTTCATCTTCTCTGTCACTTGCAGGACCACAGAGGAGCATGTGTCTGAGTGGTAGCCAATGAAGACATCATGTGGCAGGTAGCGGTTTGTCTTGGACTGCTGACTTTTCAAGGAGAGAAACTGTTTGACCCATTCCTGTAGTTGTTTGACAATCTCCTTCTGGTCATTCTTGAGGACAGTGTTGATGTCCAGGTAGTGCTTTTCCAGCCGGTTTATCAGGGGAATTGGGAACTGCTTGTAGACCACCTCTTTCTCTTCAATGACAATTAGACGGAAGTCTTTGTGAACTCTGCACTTCACACGATGGGTTCCCAATCCAAGATCGACATACTTCTGACCCCCAAGTGAAACATAGTATTGGTTGAGAGCGTCGTAGAGACTTTCGTACAGATTCTGAAGGTTCAGAAGCACAACAGTCTGGCCAGTTTCCATGCAGATCTTCACTCGGTTGATATTTCTGCAGATCTGAGTGTACTCTTGATCCTTTGGGAAGCTGGAACCAAAGATGATCTCTGGATGGTTGTGGTCTGAGAAGAATGTCTGCTGGAGAATCTGGAGGGCTGCATAGTTTTTGGTGAGGACAAGGAGATATCGACACTCCTCATCTTGGCAAATGGAAACAATGTTTTGTTTCACCAGATCAATAGTGCTGATGCCATCCAAATCAGGTTGAATGGATTGGCCCGGCAGCTCTTTGGTGAATATACGCACTGCGTCCACATCATCTCTTCCACTGAAGTTCCTTAGGACTGCTTCAATGATTTGAACTGTACTGGGGCTCTGCTTAGAGACCTTGGTGATGGCGAACATCATCTTCACCAGACTGTAGTAATCTCGTAGACCGAAAAACCCTTTTCCTTTCTTGCAAGTTGTCATGTACGCTTGGGAGAAAGCTTTGAAGAGGTGCTTAACCTTCTCCAGAATCATCTTGTCAGACGAGCATATGCCTTTCGCGCTCTCGAGTAGCTCATTTTGGTCCGGGTCACCACGGGACACAAAGAGGCCTCTGTTCATCTTGGCAGGGTCCAAGGCCCAATTGGAGATGCCAATGAATCCAACCCTCTTATGAGGCAGTGGCTCATCATCGATGCAGCCTTCCTCCAGTAAAGGGTGCAATGTTTTCAGAGGCATTTTTGGGGAGTCCTCTGCCAGTCCAATTTCATCTAGCACAACAACGGAGATGTACTCCTCCAAATTCTTGCTCTCTTGGAAGCGGGCACATTGTCTGAAAGTGTTGATGATGCCCTCTGGCGTGGAGTGAGGGCTGCACTGAAAGGACACCAGGTGAATCTGTTTCAGTCTTTTGTACAGCTCAGAATGTGCAGCTTGGCCCTGCATGGCATCTGCAACCAAAGTTTTGGACAGAGATTTGGAGCTCCCGGGCTTGCCAACCAAAAACAGGGGGATTCGTAACTCGATACAGATCACCATCATGAAGACATTCTCTTTCAAAGCCTTGTTTCTTGCTATTGTCTCTCCCATTGGGACACCGCTTAGGAGAAGGTCCTGCATGACTGAGATCTCCTGCTTCATCTTCTTTGGGGTGACTTGGGGAAGGAATTCGCAGATTGCGGTCTGGTATTCACCTTTTCCTTCTAGACAGGCTTGATAACATACACCAACAGCCATCAACAGTGACCAATCAACTGGATCACTGGCAGGTGAGTGTAGCTGGTCACTCCTGCTCCTCTCCTCCTGCGGTTGTTTCTGGAGGAATGCCTTTAACTCATCCTGAAACAGCGAGTGGTTGTTGTAGAACCACACAAATACTTGCATGCAGCGCTCCACGTCCCTGAGACTGACAAAGCTGCATTCATCTTTCCTCTCCCTCATAAATGTCTGCGACGACGACAGCACATCAGTGATCATCCTGATGGATCCTCTGTTGATTGAATTTGTTTCCACAACTCTCTGCACAATCTGCTGGATGTACATTTTCTCTGTGTGGTCACTGAGTTGCCCAAAGTCCCACACCAGAGGGATCATGCTTGGGGGCAACACTTGGACCCTATACACCAGCTGGCGAAGAGGGATGGATCCCAGTCTTTCTTCAGTCTCTTCAGCTCGGACCCTGTACCCCAAACCAGCTGCCTCCAGCCTCTTGATCATCTCATCTGTGTGTTTCCTGTAAGGATTGCATGCAGCAATGATTTTCAGGCCAGTTTGGGAGCTGAGTTGTTGTCCTTGCACAGTGTTGTCACACAGGATCTCCTTAATGCTGCTTATTGCTTCAGTGGTATTAGCTTCATCGAAGAAAAGAACAGAATCAAAATCATGTTCCTCTTTATTGGCAACCGCAATCTTCTCTGCCTCCCGCACCTTGTTGTAGATCATGTCAGACGTAGTTCCACCGTGAACTTTGACGAGTTTCATGTTCTCCGTGGGCGCCCCACTCCTTCTCAACTCACACAGGAACTTGATGAGCCGTGTCTTCCCACAGCCAGTCTCCCCCATTATGATGACTGGAATGCCACACCTGAACCTCATGTGGATGGCCATCATCTTCAGTATGTTGTCGGTGGTGAGCTCATATGTTGTATCAGGGTCTGTTGGCCACTTGATCCCCAGCACACTACATAGACGCTCAATCTTATCTGCTCGAGAAAGTTGGTCATAGTCGATGTTAAAGGGAACTCTTTGATGTCTGAGGCCATTGTACAGGTCTTTGGTCATGATGTTTCTCTTGATCACCACATTTGTTGATGGATTAATGGCATCAACCCCATTTTGCTCATTCTCCCGTAGGTGAAATCCAATGAAGGTCATGGACGCATGGTCATCATTGAAAAAGATGTATGGATGTGGTTCTGATTCCCATCTCTTTCTGATGAGGAACGGGGCTAGATCTCTTTCGTTGAGTCCATTGTCCATCGGCTGCCTCCCATGGCTCTGGTCAGCGATGCAGAGAGATGGAGTGGCAAAGTCCTTGGCCATCAAGATCATGAAGTCAACCACAAAGTTTCGGAATCCCCCAAGAGTGTCTCCAACAAACTCAAAGTTGCAGAAATCAGATGTCTCACAGTCTAGCAACTGAAGATTGAGAAATCCGGCAAAGTTCCTCAGTTCTGCCCATGATGGATCAATTATACCACAGTAGATGAAGAGCATTTGAAGGCACTCTGCATGAGTTCCTTCAACTCTTTGGTAGTTGAAGCTGTCAAGATTCTCACCCCTATGGAACCGTGTTAGATACTGGTATGGTCTTTGAAAGGCCTCACTCCTGAAACACTGGTCATCCATGAGTGGGTCCTCAGTGTCCAGCACCGGATCATCTCCATTTCTCGCTTCCAACCCCATAACGTCTTTTGGTGGACGGCAGAAGACCTTAGGAAAGACCTCAAAGAGAGGAAAGTGTCCCTTTGGATCCTAAACAGACAAATTAAGATTAATATTATTAATATATCATATATATAATATATATTTATATAATATTAACCATATGAAGTATTTTGACAAACACTACCTCCACGATTAAAATGGGATGTCCAACAGAAAAAGTATTTAAATATATATTTTACTCAAAATACTATTACTAAATATGTATTAAATATTTGTGTATTTTGTTCATTAGTCCACTGTTGATATGGTCCCAAAAAAAGTGTGCATGTCAGCAGTAAAATTATTAAGATACAATTATTTTCTGGACAAAGCAAAAAGTGTGATGATGCAAAATGCATCATAAGAAGCGAAACGCATCATCATCACACTTTTTCGAAAACAATGCTAATGCTAGCCGAAAACAATGCTAATGCTAGCCGTAGATCACTGTAGCTTAGTAAACAAAGTCAAATGTTGCGTTGCTGACTCCACCCCATGGACTACTTTCAAGGTAAAGAAAATATAACGTGATAGAATAATTTTTGTGATCCTTCCCCTTTAATATAGAGTTTTCCTAAAATGTAGTAAATCAAACTTTTCCTGCTCATAGTTGGTTAAAATTACATGATGCACACACCAGATGATGGCATCGGAAAACACTTATGTTCCACTATCCTTTTTGACCACAAAACATTGAAACCTGCAGTTCACACATTATGTTGATGTTGAGGTGGTGCTGGAGATGATGAATATTAGGTTGAAGAGTGGAGAAATGTCCATTTAGCATGCTAGCAGCTAGCCACCTGTCTGAGTTTGGTAGGGCTACTTAACGGTATACTTCAAACCGTTTCACGTGAAATGACCAAATAAAAATGGATTGACACTTACAGATCTCGAGGCATGTCCGGGCGGTTCTTTGGTGGATTGTAGTGTCTCAATCACATACAAGTGTTTGTTGCTGCATTTCCACATCAGTCCATCGGAATCCGTCAGATAACGCAGGAAGAACAGTTTGAATAGAAATTCATGCAGTCCTTTCTGTACCTGGAGAACATCAATAGCACGCATGTAAATCTGCCGGCACAGAAAAACATCAACATTTTCAATATCTTATTAATGCTAGAGGAGTATTTACCGAGGATGTGACATCAAAATGAAAGACTTTGTGTTCCTTGCTCTCTGGCGTTTCAAACAAGGACTGAAGAATGATATGCTCATCAACCTTGGGCTCAATTAAGCGAATGCATTTGCGGAATGTGGTTCCCATTGTCACAGTTCCCTCCAGTTTTTCATACAACCTCTGTATGTACAGGGATTTTCCTACAAATAAATAAAACATTTGATTCAGCTCTACAAAGACCTAGGTCAAATGTATAGGCATAGAATATTTTCTGCCTAAAGAACTCATATGTGTTGAGAGAGTATAAACTATTAGTATTCCTGAAACTCAAGACTTGCAACTGAAACTACTGAATATCAAAAAAACGCACATTTTTTAAAAGAACACATTCATAATATGAAATATATGTATACGTTTGGCTCTGTGGGACTATATGAAGTAACAAAACTCTTTACGGTATAAAACTCACCAACTCCAGCCCTCTGTGAAGACACAATCCCAACAAAGTGTCTACCTTTGAACACAGATGCTGCACTGGTCTGGTGTGAGGGGACAGTGTAGTGCCTGGACAGGTATCTCTGAATCCTCTCAAGAGACTCCCGTGGCACCATGTTCCGTTTGAAGTGACTGAAGGCAGAGGGGATGTAGGCGTGCTCTCTTTCTGCGCTGCAGATGATCACCAGCCTATAGTTGCTGCTCCTGGTGCATGAACTCAGTTTCTGAAAGAGCTTCTCCACTGCATAGCTCACCTCGTAGCTCAGCTGGTCTGCGAAGAGCAGGGTGTAGATCTTCTCACCCATGTAGCCCGGTGTGAGACATCGCCGGAAGAAAAGCTCCACCTGCTCATAGGACGTGGCAGGGGTACACAGGAGGACTTCGTCGTAGGTAGGCAGCTGCTCATAATCACTGGTCATATACAAGCAGATGCTTGAAGTCAAGATTTCATCTTGTGGGCAGATGATGAGATTAGGTTGACAATTGAAGAGGCCTTTTGGGAGCTTTCTCCTGACCGTATTCTCACTTGGTTCTAAAAGCATGGGTTCTTCTCCATCATCTTCTTCCTGGTTCTCTTTGTTGGCCAACATCTCTAGCAGACGACCAAAGCTTATGGTGTCTAAGGAGTCCTGGAGAATGCTCCTCATATCTCTCATGTAAGTATCCCAGACCAGATCCAGTTTTTGTAAACCAACAGCCTTGTCCAAAAGGCTCTGCAGAACATCGATGGCACCTTTTCCCTCACCAGCAAAAGAAGAATCAAAGTCTCCCAAGTCATCATGAAGGTCAACGAATGTCTGATATCTGGTGTCTTTGTCTTTCAGAGTTTCTGTCACGCTGTTCTGAAAAGTCATCCATGCCTCCCACACATCTGACACAGAGCAGTCAGGTTTGATGAAAGAGAGCATCATCAACACCTTTTCATCCAATTTAGTGTTCACATTTTTCTCCGTCAAAACATTACAAAGGTAGACTATCTGCTCTGCTGTGTAATAGTTGAGGTAATAGTGCTGAGATCTTTGTTTGTCCATGAATCTGTTCCAGTCATCCAAACACACCTCTATCTTCCTGCACAGGTCTGTGAGATGGTCCATTGCATTGCCCTCCAGCCTGGTGTTTTGTAGGATGTCGCCAAGGTTGAATTCCATTACAATACCAGTATCACTTTCAGTATTACAGTGAATCTTGGCCTCCCAACACCTAAACAGTGGGTTCCCAGCTGCATAAAGGTCTACAAATGCTACAGCTAGCCGCTGGACACTGTCAAAAACCTGAGAAGATAAAGCAAGTTATTGTTTATGGTTCAGTTCAGTTTCTGTACATACAATCATATATTACAAATAAAAAATATCATCCCAGGGTATTTTAAATTTAAAAAAGAGCCCTGTGATAGCATGATATTTTCAGTGATTATTATTTTCAGGTGTGTGATGATCCTCAAGGTCACCCAATCGCCTTACCTCAGCAAAGTGATCCACCTCACTCTGGCTTTGCTCCCCCTTTCCAGACATCAGCATGAGCTTGTTCTGCAGATCTCTCAGGTCTTCTAAGGAGTAGTTACGCATCTGACCTTCCTCCTGCTGTTCTGGAATCTGCAGCTTCAGGGCAGTGTCTAAACTCAGCTATTGAAGAAGACAAAAATGGACAAGATCCAATATAAGAAGCATCAATCTACTTCAGGAAAGTGCTTACAGATGTTTGTTAAACAATAGCGGAAAGAAATGGAAGACCTTGTATGAGTACAAACATAGACAGTAGTGCTGAGCGATTAGTGCCTTTAGAGGGCGGGAATCGCTCAGCACTAATAGACAGTGACTCCTTAATGAAGATACATCTTCCAACAAACTCGTGTCAATTAATCTTTTTTTTTTTTTTATGTATAAAACACAGTAACCTCCCAATTTTATTGAACAAACCTTATTCTGGTTTTGTGCACTGATGACGTAGATGCCTCTTTTGTTGATGGATTTGGCCAATGATAGAGAAGAGAGTTCCACAGAACCATGGCTGTCCTTTACCGTTTTCAGCCACTCCAAATGGCGTGCAGTATCCCGCTGCAATCAGGGAGGAAACAATCGTGAATTGGTTTTTTAAAAGCATTATTTATGTCCAACTCAGCTGGTAGAGGAGCATGGCGCTCGCAACGACAGCATAGTGGGTTTGATTCCCGGGTCCACCCATAAGTAAAACATTTACACACGCATGACTAAGTCGCTTTGGATAAAAGCATCTGCTAAATATATTACATTATATATTATGTAATGTCCGGTAAATGGTGCTCTGCAAATCAAACACAATTCTGAAAGTGTAGTGCTGAAAATCCACTATCTGCAATGTTCAAATACAGGCCTCAGTCCTTCAGGTTTGACAAGCTCTCCCAAAATATTAAACATGCCATAATTATCATAACATCTAACCAGCTTATTTGGTATGTTGCTGTCATTTCCAAGCGCCTTCCATAGTTTTGTCAAAGCCTCCTTGAAGGCATGAAAGTCGGTATCTGGTGGAAGCCCATAGAGCATGGAGGAGTAACCAAGAACAGCGTCATGGAAACAGGATACACGGTCCACATCCAAGTCGTTCTCTCCGGCGGAGATGGAGGCCAGGTCAACAAACACTTTCAGCTCGTTGATATCTACAACAGCAAAAACATAAAACATTTATCCCTTTTGCAAAAAAAACGTTGAGTTCGTTATGGCGAACCCTAACTAGTTGGTGCTAGTTACTGCTGCTGCTTTTTTTCTGCCTTGCCTTCTGGTATGACCTCACCTTCAAGAGCTTCTTTGACCCATTTGACAAAGTTTATCCTCAGGCTGAGCTCTCGAAGACACCGTCTGCGAGGTTCTGTGATGTCCTCAAGAACCTTCTTGATCTCCAGCAGATTGTCATCAATGCGATTCAGACTCTCTTCTTTAAAGTCCTCAGTATTCTGGAAAACACCATAAATAATTTATATGAATAGAGTATAGTGATGCTACATGGTTCCAGATAGAACCCAAAAGGGTTCTCATATGGGGAAAGCCGAATAACCCTTTTAGGTTCTAGATAGCACCTTTTTTTTTCCTAAGAGTGTAGAAATGCTTAATATATTGAAACAAGATCACTTTTGTGAAGTGAAAATGTGGACTGTGAGAATTTTTGCCAACTCACCATATCCAGCAGTGTCTGTAGCACTTTGAAGTCCCCTTGAGGACAGATAGTCTCTCTAACATCCATGATGACCTTGGCTGATTCCAATGCTAGATGAAGGTCATGGTATTGTTTGATCTGCTGGATCCTGCTCTTGATCCATCTTCCATCATCAGATGAGTTGATCCTGCGCATGATCTTCAGATCTTTTTCCATGTCTTTGTACTTGTCTTTGTAGGCTTCAAAGATGCTATCCACCTCCTTCAATGACATAGTGCCAGATCTCAAACTCTCATAGATCCTCGTGTAGTTATCGATGCAACTCTGGAATATTTTGCTGTGGATCAGATCGAGAGTGTAATCTTCCGTCTCCCTCTCAGGCTTTGGTTCTGTCTCATCTGTGTCAAGTTGGTTGTGTGAAAGCTCTTTGGCTTGGTTCTCCCAACACATGGTGAAAATGTAGCTGTCCCCGATAGCATGTAGGGTAGATGCCATCTGCCTGGTGACATCACAGAGGTTGAAGTATGTGACCACCCCAGTTACGTCAGAGGAGGCGTGGTCAAGTCTGTGAACTTCCATGAATTCATCCAGCGTCATCTGATCGATGTTCCCTTGGTTTTTGTGCTGCAGCTCTCTCATATCGACTGTGGATTAATATGGTATTTACAAGAACATTAACCAGAAGTGTTATGTCAAGAAGTCATAGGGCTACAATTTCCTCAAGCAAAGAAATGTATGCAATTAACAAAACTACAATAATCCAAAGTTCTGCATTCTGTAACGGTATCACACAGTTTTCTTAAATCGCCTCCTTCTCTGGGAAATTATTTGCCTAGCAACCAGTGAAAGCGAAATTATTTGCCTAGCAACCAGTGAAAGGGAAATAATTTGCCTAGCAACCAGTGAAAGCCATTTTGTCATATCTTATTGAAACGACTGGACAACACTTCAGGTAAAGAAATTATATTTTGACGATGTTATATCTGGAGAAAACATCCAACAATTGAAAGTGACATTCCTTAATTTATTGTATTAGAAATCATCAGAGCTTCATGCAGGTCCTGTAGTGTTCCTTGACCCTTGACCCTTGACCCATCAAGGCTACTTTGAAGAATATAAAATATAAAATATATTTTGATTTGTTTAACACTTTTTTGGTTACTACATAATTCCATATGTGTTATTTCATAGTTTTGATGTCTTCACTATTATAGCCGGATGTTCCCCAATGCTGCAAGGGGGGCCCAGAGTGAAACAGTTTGGGAACCCCTGGTAGAGAATCACTATACCATCTAAACCACTACGAAACATATTTTCCAGAACCAAAACATTGTATTTTCAGCTGTTTGAAGCTGGTGTACAAAACCAAAAGTAAAAGACTTATTAAAAATCAAAACAATAGCCGTTAAAATAATAAATAACGTTTGTAGAACAACTAAAGTTACATTAATAACTCTAAATTAAGCATATAGGAATACCTATTTCTTTGTTAACCGCTCAACACAGAATAGCCGCATGTTCGCACTCCCTCAAATCGTTTGGAGAAAATATCCTCTCTATTTTATTTAGCTTTGTTCAATTGTATTCTTCATACTATGAAATAATATAAAATAATGCCACAGAATTCTAAGCAAATCTTGTCTGCTAAATGAACTAGTGTAGCCCACAGCCATTTGGCATAGCCACATAAGGACAACTCAGAGTATGCTATTCTGTTCTTCTGAAATAGACTACATTTTCTACACAACATTTCGTGACCGCCACAGCACAAGGTGCACCTGTGTAACGATCATGCTTTTTAATCAGCTTCTTGATATGCCACACCTGTCAGGTGGATGGATTATCTTGGCAAAGGAGAAATGCTCACTAACAGGGATGTAAACACATTTGTACTAAATATTTGAGAGAAATAAGCTTTTTGTGTATATGGAACATTTCTGGGATCTTTTATTACAGTTCACGAAACATGGGGCCAACACTTTGCGTTTATATTTTTGTTCAGCATATTCAACAAATGTTTGGGGGGGGGCTTGTGATACGCCACTGATATTGGCCCTCCTGTAGCTCAGTTGGTAGAGCATGGCGCTTGCAGCGCAAGGGTTGTGGGTTCGATTCCCACGGGGGGCCAGTATGAAAAATGTATGCACTCACTAATTGTAAGTCGCTCTGGATAAGAGCGTCTGCTAAAATGACTAAAATGTCAACAACAAAAAATATCAGTGCTGTTTTGCATGAGGGACATTTTGCAAATACTTAAATATCATAAGCTCTTAAGAAATATATACAGTGGTAAAAACATTGAACTCACTTTTGAGATGTTCCTGCAGTTTGTGGCAAAATATGAGAAGGCCTTCAACCATCTCCTTGTCATTGGTGATAGCCTCCATTTCCTCCTCTCTCCATTTCAGCAATTGTTTCATGGCTTTCCCGTCCTGACAACGACCATCATCACACAGGACATCTGTTGTGGAAAAACACACATCCTACAGTTTGAGATGTTCTTTTTCCTTCTGTAGTGAAACAATATGAACTATATATTTTTTTTATTGTTGACTATTGCCCAGAACAATCACCTATATTCAGCAGCTCAGTGAATTCTGTTTTTCTTTGGAGGACTTGATTGAGAGTCTTAATCTGGATTTCCCCGTTGATGAATTTCTTTGCGACAGAACAGAACGCAGAGCTTGCCACGGCCATCCGCTCTTTAGCTTCATCTGTCAACCGGTTAATCATTGCTCCATTTGCGCCTGAAAGTAGACAAACGTGTCAATTGAGGGTAGAAAGAAATGGGGGGGAAATGGCCTTACTTACAAAGGATCTGAATGCAAAGGATCTGAATGCAAAGGATCTGAATGCAAAGGATCTGAATGCAAAGGATCTGAATGCAAAGGCTCTGAATGCAAAGGCTCTGAATGCAAAGGCTCTGAATGCAAAGGCTCTGAATGCAAAGGCTCTGAATGCAAAGGCTCTGAATGCAAAGGATCTGAATGCAAAGGCTCTGAATGCAAAGGCTCTGAATGCAAAGGATCTGAATGCAAAGGATCTGAATGCAAAGGCTCTGAATGCAAAGGCTCTGAATGCAAAGGCTCTGAATGCAAAGGAAATATCTGAATGCAAAGGAAATAGCTGAATGCAAATTCTCTGAATGCAAATTCTCTGAATGCAATAAAGGCAGGTATGTGTTATTTTCTTTTTTGTATGTGTTGCAATGCAATGCATGTATAATATATGCACCTTGTACTCGAAAGATGCTTCTGGCCATAGGCCAGCTCAGAAGGTGCTTCATCACTAACTCCTCGCCCTCGACGTACCGTCCATCGTCGGTTTTGGGCCAGGACTTCAGGACTATCACAGACATCAGCTTCTCAAACTTGCTAAAGTCATGTTTCTTCAACAGCTCACGAAGATTAGATGTGTCCTGATAATGAAAAGTGGTAAGACGTGGTGAGACACAAATCCAACATGGAAACCGTTCAACTTTTTAAAATAGGATGAAGCATTTACTGTCATACGCTCTTCAAAGAATTGTAGCATTCGAGGTTCATACAGTATGATTAAAAACGTAATCTTGCCTTGCAAATGGCGGTGACTGCCTCCAAGGCACATTTCTCCAGAGAGTTACACAAAGAGGGACTTATCTTGCCCACTTCCTCCATCTTGTCACAGTAGATTTCAATCAGATGCATGGGCTTCTCCTGATGGACGACACACACATGATCAACAGTTTTTACTTTCATAGTAGTACAAATGGCTATTATTTTAGTTAAAGGGGCACTCCGGAAATCGAAAACTATAAAGCAGCCACCCCGCCGCGTGTTCTGGTAAACAGCTGAGGTATGGGGCTGGAGAAATATAACCACTTCATAGACAAAGCTATGAATGCAAGGACCATCAATGAGATCAAAATTATAGTTTTAACTATGTTGTGAATCTATACAATGTTTGCTTACAATTACCTTGTTTACAAACAAGCTTTTATTTTTGGTTCTGATGGGGAATGACAGTTCACCTAAGCGTATGATAAAAAGTCTAAAAATGTATGTACCAATCCCGGATTGACCCTTTTAATTGTATTATATGTTTTAAAAGTTTATTTAAATATGTTTTACAATTTATTTAAAGCATAATTAATACCGTTTTTAGTTTTCCTTCAAAATCATTTAGGAAAGTACTTCTCCATCGTTCAGTGAGTTCTTCATTCCCAAAAGTGACTGAGATCAACCTTTTCCAGACCTAGAGAAAATAACCTTCATGATTAATCTCTCTGAATGTTAAACAAACACTGTACACAACAAAATGCTATGCTATGTAAAAAATCATTTTTGACTGATTCTTCTGATGAGGATTTAAAACTGCACAGTCCATTGCTTGGACTTTAAGCTTAACAATCCTACCGTAAGCTCATTCTTTGAGGGAAAACAGGACCCATGGTAAACCGGTTTCTTTGGGAATGCTTTTCGCCGCCAGTCCCTCATTGTTCGAAGTGTCTCCTCCAGAACTTTGTTTTCCGCTGACTGGGAACCAAGACATTGATCAAATTGAGTTATTCTTATTAATAATATTATACTATAATGATCATATTATAATTATGCAGAATAGCACTCATATTTTTCTCTCATTCCTCATTTAAAAATGTGTTTGCATTCAATCACTTTTACCAAGAATTGTGCTCAAATAAAGCAATACAAAACTATCAGAACATGAACAAGTTGAGAAGTCCTGGAATATCTTCATTATGTCATTTGATTTAGTCTGGAAATGAACAGCAAAAGATATTCAGAACCGGCAAATATTCAGAAAGCAAAATACTTTCCGTTCACATAGGGGGTACCTGTGGATGGAAGCTTCCAGTGGTTTCTGCAATCAGACTGACCAGTTGCAGGCAGTCCAGTGGAAGCTCACAGCGGTCTGAATCAGCAGTGATCTTACAGATTGTCTCCAGAACGCTCACAGCTGTTTTCAAGCAACATTCTCCATATCTGTTATCACTGATAATAACAAGGAATAACTTGAGGGGTCAAGGGTCAAGGAACACTACAGGACCTGCATGAAGCTCTGATTATTTCTAATACAATATATTAAGGAATGTCACATTCAATTGTTGGATGTTTTCTCCAGATATAACATCGTCAAAATAGAATTTCTTTACCTGAAGTGTTGTCCAGTCGTTTCAATAAGATACGACAAAATGGCTTTCACTGGTTGCTAGGCAAATAACATAATGTTGTTAAGTACAGTATCCGCACATTGACTCTGCACCGGTACCCCCCCCCCCCCCCCCCCCCCCCCATGTACATATAGCCTCCCTACTGTTATTTTATTTTACTTCTGCTCTTTTTTTCTCAACACTTTTTTTGTTGTTGTTTTATTTTTACTTTTTTGTAAAAAATAAATGCACTGTTGGTTAAGGGCTGTAAGTAAGCATTTCACTGTAATGTCTGCACCTGTTGTATTCGGCGCATGTGGCCAATAAAATGTGATTTGATTTGATATCACCACTAAATCTTTGACATTGTATTACCTTGATATGATTACATAATAATATAATATATAATATGCCGCGATTCTCAAGTCAAAGCAGACGATGAACTCACAGTTATGAACTGCATCCAAAATTCAATCACAGGGCATAACACATTTCCTACTCATTATTTTTGCCTCACTGTTGCAAGCAATAACTGCATTTTCAACAAAGGACACATACCCCATGGTTGTAGTGAGACTTGAGACTGAACTGGAGTTGCTGAAGTGTGTCCAAGACACCCACATGGATGACCGATATAAAGCTCATCAAGTCTTCCAACTCCAGCAGACACATCCAGGAGCGCACAAGCAGATGATCCACCTCCACCAGGTGTGAGTGATCTGTCATGACCTTCATCAGGCCCCTGGATTCAGAGTCAGTCTCATTAAGATTTTAAGATATTAAACATATTCTACAGTGAGAAGAAAATGTTTTCTGATACAAGTCCGAAATGCAGCTCATCAAAAACGGTTGTATTCAAGTTCCATTTAAACTCCAGCAATTGGAAACAATCTCATTCAACATTATCACGGATTCATACCTTGTGCTTCTGTAGGGGTCTTTATTTCGGATCCCTTTAAGCCCTGCCCAGGTGGTCAACGGTGGATCCATGGTGGATGGAATGGGTTCAAAAGGCTTGCTGTCCCCTCTAAGCAGATGCAGGAGAGGGATGACTAAGATCCATCTCACAACACTCCCCTCTTTTGCAACGTTGCAAAGCCCCTCAACTTCCTCTGCAACACTAGATATATATACAAATAACCACATATTAGCTTGACATTCATAATAACCTCCGGATTTCAAGGTTACGTGCTTTTAACTGAATAAAAGACTACGAACATATACCCAATATGCTCGGGTAGGCCTCGGGTGAAGTCTGTCCAGTATGCAAGGAAATCGTCTCTTGACTTTTTTGGCAGGCAGAGCAGCTGACAAAGATGAGAGAGTTGATCTCTGTTGTCCTCTTTCAATCTGTACTTGTTGTACACAATCAGGATGATAATTCCTGCTTTCAGTGGGTCTGAGAGGAAAACGTCATGCTTTTCTCTTCTCTTTTGGGACTGAGGATCTAGGTTTTCCTCCATGAAGTCTTTCATGAGGCTTCTCACCTGAGGGAATACGTAGAAATAATGAAAAATATCACTCAACATTTTATTAATATCACTTCGCATTTGAAACAGAATTACTTTATATGACCTCACATATAAACATTTTTTTTAAAGACAGATTTACCTTTTACAATGTGGAAAATATTTTGTGTTTGCGTATGTATGTTTCATTTTGTTGACTGTACACACGAATATGACGGCTATAGATTTGAAGTCCTGGGCGGTTTCCTTGGATTTCTTCACATTTTATTGTAATACAAAGTGGGATAAAAATGTATTTAATTGTAATTTGTTGTGATTCTCCATCACGTGATCGGGTCTTTCTCACAGGCTACAAGTGAAGACAGACACTTCGGGGACACAACTGCTCGCGTCCTTATCCAATTCCGAGGTGCATATTGTAGATTTTGGAAGAACTGTCCACATTTACTTTTCGTCAGCCAACAGGATGAGTAGGCCTAACGAACAGCAAAAGCACTAGCCTATGTCAATCTACTATCCCACTATGCTTTTATTATAAAGGTCGATTTCAATGGGAAATTAGGGCTTAGTGGGACTATCATTTGTTTTTCAACAGGACAATGACACAACACACCTCCAAGCTGTGTAAGGGCTATTTGACCAAGAAGGAGAGTGATGGAGTGCTGCATCAGATAACCTGGCCTCCACAATCACCCGACCTCAACCCAATTGAGATGGTTTGGGATGAGTCCTCTGTAGCTCAGCTGGTAGAGCACGGCGCTTGTAACGCCAAGGTAGTGGGTTCGAACCCCGGGACCACCCACACACAAAAAAATATATATAATGTATGCACCCATGACTGTAAGTCGCTTTGGATAAAAGCGTCTGCTAAATGCCATATTATATTATTATTATTATTATGATTCGGACCGCAGTGAAGGAAAAGCAGCCAACAAGTGCTCAGCATATGTGGGAACTCCTTCAAGACTGTTGGAAAAGCATTCCAGGTGAAGCTGGTTGAGGGAATGCCAAGAGTGTGCAAAGCTGTCATTAAGGCAAAGGGTGGCTATTTGAAGAATCTCAAATATAACATATGTTTTGATTTGTTTAACACTTTCTTGATTACTACATGATTCCATATGTGTTATTTCATAGTTTTGATGTCTTCATTATTATTCTATAATGTAAATTTTTTTTTAAATTAAAGTAAAACCAGCACAATCAACAGTCTGATCAACTCTATGTGAAGGAGATGTGTCGCGCTGCATGAGGCAAACGGTGGTCACACCAGATCCTGTGTAGTTATTACATTTTTATGAATTTGTCAAATCTTCTTTTCACTTTGACATTATCAAGTATTTTGTTTATATCAATAACAAAAAATTACAATTAAATCTATTTCAATCCCACTTTGTAACGCATTAAAATGTGAAAAAAAGTTCAAGGGGGTATAGACTTTCTATAGACACTATACATATATTGCAGCATTCATATAGATGTCAAATTTAAATATACCTGTTCTGCTCCAAACGATAATTCCCATGGTGCCTCTCCACCGTCATGGACACGGGGATAGCTGTATGTGGTGAAGAATTGCTGGAGCTGGGAAAAGAAACGCCTCACATTCACTTCAGTCCAGGTTCTCAGAAGATCAAAGATGCCTTCCAACATCACCTTTCCAGCCATCTGTCTTCCCTTTACTAAGTTGCTCTTCACATTATCCCACCACTGAAACCAGTTGGTAACACGTGACAGAAGGTCTTGTTTTGGTTGTGGATATACGACATCGTCATACTGGTGCCATTCCCCTTAAGAGAAAAAAAAATGTCACCGTTTTGTTAAAATACATCTTATAATACACTCCAACTTATTTGGACAGTTTAGCTAAAACGTTTAATTTGGCTCTATACTCCAGCATTTTGGATATGAGGTCAAATGTTTTATATGAGGCAACAGTACAGAATGTCACCTTTTATTTATTTGAGGGCATTTTCATGTGTCCGTTTTACCATTTAGAAATTAAAGCACTTCATGTACAGTGCTGTGAAAAAGTATTTGCCACCGTTCTAATTCTCTCTACCTTTGCATATTTTTGATACTGAATGTTACCAGATCTTCATCCAAAACCTAATATTAGATAAAATGAACCTGAGTGAACAAATAACACAACAATTACATACTTATTTAATTTATTTTCATAAACAAAGTTATGCAACACCCAATGCCCCTGTGTGAAAAAGTAATTGCCCCCTTACACTCAATAACTGGTTGTGCCACCTTTAGCTGCAATAACTCCAACCAAACACTTCCCGTTGTTGTTTATAAGTCTGTCACGTCGCTGTGGAGGAATGTCGGCCCACTCTTCCACGCAGAACTGCTTTAACTCAGCAACATTTGTGGGTTTTCAGGCATGAACTGCTCGTTTCAAGTCCTGCCACATCATCTCAATTGGGATTAGTTCTGGACTTTGACTAGGCCATTCCAAAACTTCCAAATGTGTTGCTTTTTAGCCATTTTCATGTAGCCTTGATTGTGTGTTTTGAATCATTGTCTTGCTGCATGACCCAGCTGCGCTTCAACTTCAGCTCATAGACGGATGGCCTGACATTCTCCTGTAGAATTCTCTGATACAGAGCAGAATTCATGGTTCCTTCTATTAAGTCAAGTCATCCAGGACTTGAGGCAGCAAAGCATCCACAAACCATCACACTACCACCATCATGCTTGACTGTAGGTTCTTACTGTGGAATGCAGTGTTTGGTTTTCGCCAGGCATAATGGGACAAATAGTTATACTTTGTACTCATCTGTCCATAGAACATTCTTCCAAGAGTCTTGATGATCATCCAGGTGCTTCCAGGTGCTTTTTTGCAAACTTGAGTCAACCTTTTGTACAACATGGGTCCCATTATGCCTGGCGAAAACCAAAACTTCATTCCACAGTAAGAACCTCATACCAACGGTTAAGCATGGTGGTGGGAGTGTGATGGTTTGTGGATGCTTTGCTGCCTCAGGACCTGGACGACTTGCCTTAATAGAAAGAACCATGAATTATTCTCTGTATCAGATAATTCTACAGGAGAATGTCAGGTGATCCGTCTGTGAGCTGAAGCTGAAGTGCAGCTGGGTCATGCAGCAAGACAATTATCCAAAACACACTATCAAGTCTACATGAAAATGGTTAAAAAGCAGTACATTTGAATTTTTGGAATGGCCTAGTCAAAGTCCAGACCTAATCCCAATTGAAATGTTGTGGCAGGACTTGAAACAATCAGTTCATGCTTGAAAACCCACAAATGTCGCCGAGTTAAAGCAGTTCTGCATGCAAGAGTGAGCCAAAATTCCTCCACAGCGATGTGATAGACTGATCAACAACTACATGAAGCATTTAGTTGCAGTCATTGCAGCTAAAGGAAGCTGAAAATCTGATAACATTCAGCATCAAAAATAGAGAAAATCAGAAAGGGGGCAAATACTGTATCTTGTCCCCCAACTTGAAGGTGTCATAAGTATTTGGACAAATTCACGTATAGTGTATTACATTTAGTCAAGAGTTTAGTATTTGGTCCCATATTCCTGGCACGCAATGACTACATCAAGCTTGTGACTACAAACTTGTTGGATGCCTTTACAGTTTGTTTTGGTTGGGTTTCAGATTAAGTTGTGTCCAATAGAAATGAATGGTAAATAATGTATTGCATCATTTTGGAGTCACTTTTATTGTAAATAAGAACTTAATATATTTCTGAACACTTCTACATTAATGTGGATGCTACCATGATTACGGATAATCTTGAATAATTGGGGGGGCACAAAATAATCTGAAACAATCAAAATGTACTGCAAATGCATTCAACAAGTTTGCAGAGTGACAGGATTGACGTAGTCATTGCATGTTAGGAATATGGAATCAAATAGTAAACTTTTGACTACTTCATTTATAAGAATATTTAGGGGTGTCAATAATTCTGACCCCTACCTTTTTGAGAAAAAAAAAGTATTACTTGTTCAACATAATATTTCTCTGAGCAATTGTATTATTATAAAATAATATAATTTCCCTATTCCTTTGTGTAATATAGATCAGTGTTTTAAATCTTTATTTTATACACAGTACCAGTCAAAAGTTTGGACACACCTACTGATTCAAGGGTTTTTCTTTATTTTTACTATTTTCTACATTGTAGACTAATAGTGAAGACATCAAAACTCTGAAATAACACATTTGGAATCATGTAGTAACCAAAAAAAGTGATAAACAAAGTCTTCAAAGTAGCCACCCTTTGCCTTGATGACAGCTTTGCACACTCTCTTGGCATTCTCACCAGCTTCATGAGGTAGTCACCTGGGCCCAGACTTACAAAACCTTCTTAAGAAGAAATGTCTTCTTAACTGCCATTTTTTCCTTAAATATAGACTTATGAAGAAAGTTAAGCAAAGTTGCTATTCCTCAAAAAGTTTATTGGAAATGTTCTTGCGCTATTTCTGATGTTTCTCCTTAAGCAAAAAGTTAAGAAGAAATTAGATTCTTGAAAATAACATTTTTGGATTTGTTCTTAATTCCAAGATAGCTAAACCCTTGTCTTAAACTCAGGGCAGTGAGAGAATAAGCTCATGAAAGCAATTGAACATGTTTAATTCACTCACAAACTTCATCTGAAAGTTGCAGTATTGTCACGGAATCAGCAGAGGCTGCTCCTCCTCCTTGCTCGGGCAGGCTTCGGCGTTCGTCGTCCCCGGAGTACTAGCTGCCACCGATCTATGTTTCGGTGTTTGTCTAGTTTGTCTTGATTGTTTTCACCTGTTTCCCATTATGTTACATTGTATTCCCTTTATAACCCCCTGTCTCTCATTGGTTATTGTGTGTGATTGTTTTCCGTGAGGTCGGCAGTGTTCGGGTGTATGCGTATTTTGTTCCTCCCTGTTTGGAGGTTTTGTTTGGTATTTTTGATTAATGTGCAAGTAAAGTTTGTCTGCCAGTAGCTCGGTGTCCTGCGCTTGACTTCGCTCACCGCATACACGTCGTCCTGACAGAATCACACACCACACATGGAGTCAGCAGGAGCGGCGGTGCCAGCTGGATCAATGGAGGAACGCATCGAACACCAAGCGGCCATGATCCAGGCTCTCGGCACCGCCATGGAACGGGTGGTGAGCACTATGGAGCGATGGGAAAGAGGGGGTCTGCCTACGCCTCCTCCAACGATACCACCACCATCGGCGATGCCCATAGCTTCACCTCCGGGGTCCAGTGGGATTCGGCTCTCGCTCCCGAGGGCTTATGATGGCACAGCGGCCGGGTGTCAGGGTTTCCTGCTCCAGGTTGAACTCTACCTAGCAACCATCCACCCGGTGCCCTCGGGATACGAGAGCGTGTCCGCCCTCATCTCCTGTCTGTCCGGCAAGGCGCTGGAGTGGGCCAACTCCGAGTGGGGGGGAATAGATGCCGCTACTGTCAACTATGAGGAGTTCACCCGCCGCTTCAGGGCAGTATTCGATCATCCACCAGAGGGTAAAGCGGCGGGTGAGCGTCTATTCCACCTTAGACAGGGGAGGAGGAGCGCACAGGAGTTCGCGCTGGACTTCCGGACGCTGGCTGCCAACGTGGGATGGAATGAGAGGGCCCTCATCGACCACTACAGATGTAGCCTGAGGGAGGACGTGCGTCGGGAATTGGCCTGCAGGGACACCAACCTCAGCTTCGACCAACTGGTGGACATGTCCATTCGCCTGGATACCCTGTTGGCTACCCGCGGACGTCCGGATTCAGGGCTGTCCATTCCATCCCCCAGCACATCCGAGCCGACCCCTATGGAGCTCGGAGGTGCTGGTGCTAGGGAGACCAGGAGAGAGACCGTCCCCTGCACCAACTGTGGCCGCAGAGGACACACTGCTGGTCGGTGCTGGGGAGGGTCTCCTAGGAATCGAGGCAGTAGGCAGCGCACTGATGAGTCATTCCAGGTGAGTAGGCACCCAACTCACCCAGTTGCGCATATGTGTATTAAAGTTGTGTTTCCCGAGGTTTCTCCTCACTCCCAGCATAAGGCGCTAGTAGATTCAAGCGCAGCTGGGAATTTTATCGATCGCCAATTCACCTATAAGTTAGGGATTCCTATTGTACCTGTTGATGTGCCCTTCCCCATCCATTCCCTAGATAGCCGCCCTTTGGGGTCAGGATTGATTAGGGAAGTCACAGCGCCTCTCAGGATGAAAACGCAGGAGGGCCATGAGGAGATACTACGTTTGTATTTTATTGATTCTCCTGTGTTTCCCGTGGTGTTGGGGCTTCCCTGGTTAACATCTCATGACCCCAACATTTCATGGCAACAGAGGGCTCTCAAGGGATGGTCTGATCCGTGTTTCGGGCGGTGTGTAGGTGTTTCCGTAGGGGCAACGACGGTGGAAAGCCCGAACCAAGATCCCACCATGCACATTCCACCTGAGTATGCCGATTTGGCACTCGCCTTCTGTAAAAAGAAGGCGACTCAATTACCACCTCATCGACAGGGGGATTGTGCGATAGACCTCCAAGTAGGCGCTGCGCTTCCGCGTAGTCATGTGTATCCTCTGTCTCAGGAGGAGACGGCGGCTATGGAGACATACGTCACCGAATCTCTGAGACAGGGATACATACGGCCGTCCACTTCCCCTGCGTACTCGAGTTTCTTTTTTGTGAAGAAGAAGGATGGGGGTTTACGCCCGTGTATTGATTACCGTGGTCTCAATTAGATCACAATCAAATACAGCTATCCTCTCCCTCTGATTGCTAGTATGACGGAGTCATTACACGGGGCGCGATTCTTCACAAAATTGGATCTCAGGAGCGCGTACAACCTGGTGTGCATTAGGGAGGGAGATGAGTGGAAGACAGCATTCAGTACCACCTCGGGTCACTATGAGTACCTCGTCATGCCATACGGTTTAATGAATGCTCCTTTAGTCTTCCAATCATTTGTGGACGAGATTTTCCGGGACTTGCATGGACAGGGTGTAGTGGTGTATATTAATGACATTCTAATATACTCCGCTACACGAGCCGAGCATGTGTCCCTGGTGCGTCGAGTGCTTGGTAGACTGTTAGAGCATGACCTGTATGCGAAGGCGGAGAAATGTCTGTTCTTCCAGGAGTCCATCTCCTTCCTGGGACATCGGTTGTCCGCGTCAGGGGTGGAGATGGAGATTGACCGCGTTTCTGCCGTGCGTAATTGGCAGACTCCCACCACGATGAAGGAAGTGCAGCGGTTCTTGGGTTTTGCCAATTACTACCTGAGGTTTATCCGGGGCTTTGGACAGGTAGCAGCTCCCATTACCTCCCTGCTAAAGGGGGGGTCCGGTGCGTCTGCAGTGGTCGGCTGAGGCGGACAGGGCGTTTAGACATCTGAAGGACCTGTTTACCTCGGCTCTGGTGCTGGCACATCCGGATCCCTCTTTGGCGTTCCAAGTTGAGGTGGATGCGTCCGGGGCTGGGATCGGCGCTGTGCTGTCTCAGCGCTCGGGTACGCCACAAAAACTCCGCCCCTGTGCTTTCTATTCTAAGAAGCTCAGTCCGGCGGAGCGCAATTATGACGTGGGGGACAGGGAGCTGTTAGCTGTGGTTCAAGCCCTGAAGGTGTGGAGGCATTGGCTTGAGGGGGCTAAACACCCTTTTCTCATTCTGACTGACCATCGTAACCTGGAGTACATCCGGGCAGCGAGGAGGCTGAACCCTCGCCAGGCAAGGTGGGCTATGTTTTTTTCCAGATTTGTATTTAAGCTCACCTATAGACCAGGGTCACAGAACGCTAAGGCAGACGCCCTGTCCCGACTATATGACACAGAGGAGAGGTCCATTGAGCCCACTCCCATACTTCCGGAGTCTTGTCTGGTGGCACCGGTGGTGTGGGAGGGTGATGCGGACATCGAGCGGGCGTTACGTACCGATCCTACTCCCCCACAGTGTCCAGAGGGTCGGAAGTACGTGCCGCTCGAGGTTCGCGATCAGATTGATATATTGGGCTCACATGTCACCCTCCTCTGGTCATCCTGGTATTGGTCGGACAGTGCACTGCCTTAGTGGGAAGTACTGGTGGCCCACTTTAGCTAAGGACGTGAGGGTTTATGTTTCCTCCTGCTCGGTGTGCGCCCAGTGTAAGGCGCCTAGACACCTGCCCAGAGGGAAGTTACAACCCCTACCCGTTCCACAACGGCCGTGGTCTCACCTATCGGTGGATTTTGTCACGGACCTTCCCCCCTCCCAGGGGAACACGACGATCTTGGTCGTTGTGGATCGGTTTTCTAAAGCCTGCCGTCTCATTCCCCTGCCAGGTCTCCCTACTGCCCTACAAACTGCTGAGGCCCTGTTTACACACGTCTTCCGGCACTATGGGGTGCCTGAGGATATAGTGTCTGATCGGGGTCCCCAGTTCACCTCTAGAGTATGGAGGGTGTTTATGGAACATCTGGGGGTCTCGATTAGCCTTACCTCAGGTTTTCACCCCGACAGTAATGGGCAGGTGGAGAGAGTGAACCAGGATGTGGGTAGGTTTCTGAGGTCCTATTGCCAGGACCGACAGGAGGAGTGGTCGGGATATATTCCCTGGGCAGAGATAGCCCAAAACTCACTCCGCCACTCCTCCACTAACCTTACGCCTTTTCAGTGTGTGCTAGGTTATCAGCTGGTCGAAGCCCCTGCGGTGGACGAGTGGTTTCGGCGCTCGGAAGAAACCTGGAACGCTGCGCATGTCCATCTGCAGCAGGCTATCAGGCGGCAAAAGGCGAGTGCCGATCGCCACCGCAGTGAGGCTCTGGTGTATGCACCGGGAGATCGGGTCTGGCTCTCGACCCGAAACCTGCCCCTTCGCCTGCCCTGCCGGAAGCTGGGTCAGCGGTTTGTGGGGCCATTTAAAGTCCTGAGGAGATTGAACGAGGTATGTTATAGGTTACAACTGCCCATTAATTACCGGATTAACCCCTCGTTCCATGTGTCTCTCCTCAGGCCAGTGGTGGCTGGTCCACTCCAGGAGAGTGAGGTACGAGAGGCTCCTCCGCCCCCGTTGGACATCGAGGGGGCTCCGGCGTACTCAGTCCGTTCCATCTTGGATTCGAGGCGTCGGATGGGGGGCCTGCAGTATCTGGTGGAGTGGGAGGGGTACGGTCCGGAGGAATGGTGCTGGGTCCCTAGGAGGGACATCCTAGATCCCTCCATGTTGAGGGACTTCCACCGGAGTCATCCGACTCGCCCTGCTCCGCGTCCTCCTGGCCGTCCCCGAGGCGTCAAGGGGGGGGGGGGGGGGGGGGGGGGGGTACTGTCACGGAATCAGCCGAGGCTGCTCCTCCTGCTTGCTCAGGCAGGCTTCGGCGTTCGTCGTCCCCAGAGTACTAGCTGCCACCGATCTATGTTTCGGTGTTTGTCTAGTTTGTCTTGATTGTTTTCACCTGTTTCCCATTATGTTACATTGTATTCCCTTTATAACCCCCTGTCTCTCATTGGTTATTGTGTGTGATTGTTTTCCGTGAGGTCGGCAGTGTTCGGGTGTATGCGTATTTTGTTCCTCCCTGTTTGGAGGTTTTGTTTGTATTTTTGATTACTGTGCAAGTAAAGTTCATCTGCCAGTAGCTCGGTGTCCTGCGCTTGACTTCGCTCACAGCATACACGTCGTCCTGACAAGTATTGATTATTTTAAACCCAAGAACATGTTTTAGAACAGTAATCTCAGTAGGAAATATGCTAACATGATTGCCGGTTGCCTAGCAACAAACATCTTAAGAAGATTCTAACAAGATATTTGAGAAGTTTGTAGGAAAATCATTCAATCTTAAGATATTGTTGAGGAAATGCACGTACTAACTATCTTATGAACTTTTTGCGTAATAAGTGTTTTGCAAAACTGGGCCCTGGAATGCATTTCAATCAACAGGTGTGCCTTGTTAAAAGTTAATTTGTGGAATTTATTTCCTTCTTAATGTGTTTGAGCCAATCAGTTGTTGTGACAAGGTAAAGGTGGTATACAGAAGAAAGTTCTATTTGGTAAAAGACCAAGTCCATATTATGGCAAGAACAGCTCAAATAAGCAAAGAGAAATGACAGTCCATCATTACTTTAAGACATGAAGGTCAGTCAATACTGAACATTTCAAGGACTATGGAAGTTTCTTCAAGTGCAGTCGCAAAAACCATCAAGCGCTATGATTAAACTGGCTCTCATGAGGACCGCCACAGGAAAGGAAGACCCAGAGTTACCTCTGCTGCAGAGGATAAGTTCATTAGAGTTACCAACCTCAGAAATTGCAGCCCAAATAAATGCTTCACAGAGTTCAAGTAACAGACACATCAACATCAACTGTTCAGAGGAGACTGCGTGAATCAGGCCTTCATGGTCGAATTGCTGCAAAGAAACCACTACTAAAAGACATCAATAAGAAGAAGAGACTTGCTTGGGCCAAGAAACACGAGCAATGGACATTAGAATGGTGGAAATCTGTCCTTTGGTCTGATGAGTCCAAATTTAAGATTTTTGGTTCCAAATGCTGTGTCTTTGTGAGACGCAGAGTATGTGAACGGATGATCTCTGCATGTGTGGTTCCCACCGTGAAGCATGTGGAGGGGGTGTGATGGAGCTTTGCTGGTGACACTGTCTGTGATTTATTTAGAATTCAAGGCACACTTAACCAGCATGGCTACCACAGCATTCTGCAGCGATACGCCATCCCATCTGGTTTGGGCTTAGTGGGACTATCATTTGTTTTTCAACAGGACAATGACCCAGCCTCCAGGCTGTGTAAGGGATATTTGACCAAGAAGGAGAGTGATGGAGTGCTGCATCAGATGACCTGGCCTCTACAATCCCCTGACCTCAACCCAATTGAGATGGTTTGGGATGAGTTGGACCGCAGAGTGAAGGAAAAGCAGACAACAAGTGCTCAGCATATGTGGGAACTCCTTCAAGACTGTTGGAAAAGCATTCCAGGTGAAGCTGGTTGAGAGAATGCCAAGAGTGTGCAAAGCTGTCATCAAGGCAAACGGTGGCTACTTTGATTTGTTTAACACTTTTTTGGTTACTACATTATTCCATATGTGTTATTTCATAGTTTTGATGTCTTCACTATTATTCTACAATGAATAAATAGTAAAAATAAAGAAAAACCCTTGAATGAGTAGGTGTCCAAACATTTTTGACTGGTAATGTGCATGTATGTATGTATGTATGTATATATATATATATATATATATATATATATATATATATACAGTGAGGGAAAAAAGTATTTGATCCCCTGCTGATTTTGTACATTTGCCCACTGACAAAGAAATGATCAGTCTATAATTTTAATGGTAGGTTTATTTGAACAGTGAGAGACAGAATAACAACAAAGAAATCCAGAAAAACGCATGTCAAAAATGTTATAAATTGATTTGCATTTTAATGAGGGAAATAAGTATTTGACCCCCTCTCAATCAGAAAGATTTCTGGCTCCCAGGTGTCTTTTATACAGGTAACGAGCTGAGATTAGGAGCACACTCTTAAAGGGAGTGTTCCTAATCTCAGTTTGTTACCTGTATAAAAGACACCTGTCCACAGAAGCAATCAATCAATCAGATTCCAAACTCTCCACCATGGCCAAGACCAAAGAGCTCTCCAAGGATGTCAGGGTCAAGATTGTAGACCTACACAAGGCTGGAATGGGCTACAAGACCATCGCCAAGCAGCTTGGTGAGAAGGTGACAACGGTTGGTGCGATTATTCGCAAGTGGAAGAAACACAAAAGAACTGTCAATCTCCCTCGGCCTGGGGCTCCATGCAAGATCTCACCTCGTGGAGTTGCAATGATCATGAGAACGGTGAGGAATCAGACCAGAACTACACGGGAGGATCTTGTCAATGATCTCAAGGCAGCTGGGACCATAGTCACCAAGAAAACAATTGGAAACACATTACGCTGTGAAGGACTGAAATCCTGCAGCGCCCGCAAGGTCCCCCTGCTCAAGAAAGCACATATACAGGCCCGTCTGAAGTTTGCCAATGAACATCTGAATGATTCAGAGGAGAACTGGTTGAAAGTGTTGTGGTCAGATGAGACCAAAATCGAGCTCTTTAGCATCAACTCAACTCGCCGTGTTTGGAGGAGGAGGAATGCTGCCTATGACCCCAAGAACCCCATCCCCACCGTCAAACATGGAGGTGGAAACATTATGCTTTGGGGGTGTTTTTCTGCTAAGGGGACAGGACAACTTCACCACATCAAAGGGACGATGGACGGGGCCATGTACCGTCAAATCTTGGGTGAGAAACTCCTTCCCTCAGCCAGGGCATTGAAAATGGGTCGTGGATGGGTATTCCAGCATGACAATGACCCAAAACACACAGCCAAGGCAACAAAGGAGTGGCTCAATAAGAAGCACATTAAGGTCCTGGAGTGGCCTAGCCAGTCTCCAGACCTTAATCCCATAGAAAAATCTGTGGAGGGAGCTGAAGGTTCGAGTTGCCAAACGTCAGGCTCGAAACCTTAATGACTTGGAGAAGATCTGCAAAGAGGAGTGGAACAAAATCCCTCCTGAGATGTGTGCAAACCTGGTGGCCAACTACAAGAAACGTCTGACCTCTGTGATTGCCAACAAGGGTTTTGCCACCAAGTACTAAGTCATGTTTTGCAGAGGGGTCAAATACTTATTTCCCTCATTAAAATGCAAATCAATTCATAACATTTTTTACATGCGTTTTTCTGTATTTTTTTGTTGTTATTCTGTCTCTCACTGTTCAAATAAACCTACCATAAAAATTATAGACTGATCATGTCTTTGTCAGTGGGCAAATGTACAAAATCAGCAGGGGATCAAATACTTTTTTCCCTCACTGTATATATATATATATATATATATATATATATATATATATATATATATATATATATATATATATATATATATCTTATCATCTTATCAGACTAGATTTACAATTTCTACATTTACTTTTTGAATTGCGCAGCATGGGCTTTGCGATGAATGCTAACAAAAGAGATGCGCTGTTAATACACATTGTCTAACCCAGGGATGGGCAACTTTGACGGGGGTGTAGCCCACCTCTTGAAATGTAAGCTTTAGAGTTAATTTCATTAAATTCTCCACATTTTGCTATGGGGTGTAGAGAAAATGTTGCAGTTTTAAACAAGTGTGCTGCAATTCTACACATTTTGCGATGGGTGGAGAGAAATGTTTGCAGTTTTTAATAGGACATCTGAGTGAGACTGACTAACAAAATCAATAGCCCCCCCCCCCCCCCCCCCCCCCCCCCCATGATAACTAGTGTAGATAGATGCCCGCTAAATTAACTTAGCAAGTAAACAATTTTTGCTGACATGGGCTAATTGACTGACTATCAGTGACTGACATAAGAGAAAAACTGCTGATGCACAAACAAATTTCAAAATTGCACCTTGTGCATTCTACTATTTTTCATTTTTGGGAAATGTATCCAAGGGCCTTCAAAAGGGGCCGCAGGCCGCAGGTTGCCCATCCCTGGTCTAACCTTATCTCAACAAAATGTGTTATAATTGCAAGTGCGGTATTTGGTATAAGACACTCAACTGTACCTTCATGTGTCAAAAGATCTTGACTGATGGACAGGCACCTGTTGACTATGTATCTGGTGTTTGTCTTGTAGATGTACTCATATGTACCGTGATCAAAGTACTTCCCATTCCACTTACTATAAACAAAGTATTTATAGGGTATGGAGCGAATTTCATTCTTACTCCTGTCGGGAATCACCATTTGTCCTGCAACAAGGAATCTATCTTTCCCCAAATCTCTGTGTAAACAACAGAAAATATGTTCAGCGGTGACTAAATATCATGTTGATATAAGTTGAATGAAGATAATGTACAACTAGTCTAAACATCCATCTTGAAATTGTTATCAGTTATAAAGGTGATCATTTCTTTCAATTACAGTAATATATTCAGGGTATACTATTATCCTTCTACACACAATTCAATTATTTGAATTAAAGACCATACCGGGTGATAAACATTTCCACGCCATTTATGTCCCAAGTTCCAAAGAGACTTTCAGATCTTAAGAATATCCGGTCAGTTAAGTTCAGTTTGAAGTCTTTGGAAATGATGGCATGGAAATAGATGGTGAGGTCATCACTTCTACGGACCTGTTGTGTGCTCTGTGGCCTTTTTGAAAAGACAAGTAACAAGAGAAAAACATTACATTTCCAATATCTAATTGATAATAACTTTCAACACTCAAAATTATTTCTATTTACATTATTTACTTTTTCTGCTGTTAAATGTTATGATATTCTTGCACCAAAAAAATACTGGGTCCAGGATAGTTACACTAGTCCCTTCCAATGTTGCTTTACCCATGGCCAAAGCAGCCATAAAATGACAAAAATTCATCAAATGCAAACATGTGTTACAAATGGCATTGGGACTACTGGTTGGTGAAGATTAAACTGTGACAGGAAACATACATTTAAATATAAGACTGAACTTACAACTGAGGCGGCAGTGGCTGATGTTGGAAGCGGTCTTCATTGCGTTGGTTCGGAGGCAGATTTTTATCTGCAGGTGGGGCGTCAATAGTAGATGACTTGGAGGCATCACCACCACCCGTATTACTCAGCTTCTCTGGCTCCTTGTTTGGCTTGGAAGCCACTTGTCTTGATTCTTGAGGCTTGTCACCAGCCTAATTAAAGTGCAAGAATGTTACAGTACAAAAAAAAAAATGCAGTTCATTCCACATGCTGAACAATAACAGAATATACATATATTTATTACCTCTGCCTTGTGGGATCCAGAAACAAAGTTCCGGAAGTTTGCTTCATCTTTGCTGCTCTGGTCTCTGTGGTTACTGGCTCCAACCCCATGCCTCCTGGACAGATCTCCCGTCTCCTGAGAGGTCCCCACCAGAACGTCTTTATATGACAGCTGCCCTACTGGTTGACTTGGAACTGAGGCAGGTCCTGCTTTGTTCTGATCTTTTCTCTCAGATGTCTTCTCTGGCACCTCCTGTGTTACTGAGGCAGCAGGACTAGCAGGTTGTGCTTGACTAGTGTTTGGCCCATCGGTTGGGTCAGAACCCCTCTGATCATCAGGGGACACTTGGGATTGGTCAACACACTTCTTTGGGTCTGCCTCATTGGTGGTATTCTCGTCGGCCTGGTTACTAGAGGTCTTCAGTTCATTCTGACCTCTAACCTCTGTGTTATCTTCACCTTCAAGGCTTTTTGATGTCTCCCTTGACCCGTGTGATGTCCCCTTCAGGACATCCTCATCCAAGAGTTTACTGGCTGGTTGAGTCGGGTTTGAGGCAGGTCCTCCTGTGTTCTGATCAGTTGTCTCGGGTGTGGATGAGGCGATCTTCTCAGGTAACTCCTGTGTGACTGATGTAGGACTAGGTCGTGTTAGACTTGGGTTTGGCTCATTCATTGGTGCGCCTACATTTACCTTTGATGGACCCTTGGCCTGGTCTTCTGGCAGTGTCTGGTGGGGGGATGGGATTGGAGAGGCTATAGGTATGGTTGGAGTACAAGTAGATGTGGCAGTGTTGACAGGCCAGTGTGGCAGTGTTGACAGAGGGGCCAGCCAGGTGTGGCAGTGTTGACAGGTGGGCCAGCAGGTGTGGCAGTGTTGACAGGAAGTGGGCCAGCCGGTGTGGCAGTGTTGACAGGAGGGCCAGCAGGTGTGGCAGTGTTGACAGGAAGTGGGCCAGCCGGTGTGGCAGTGTTGACAGGAAGTGGGCCAGCCGGTGTGACAGTGTTGACAGGAGGGCCATCCACCGCTGGAGTAGGAGTAGAGCTCTCACTGCCAGACAACTCCTCTTTCTCTTGACGTGTGTCGGTGCTCAGCTCAGTAGCGCTGGGAGAGCCTCCATTCTATGAACAAAGTATACAAAAATGAAGACTTTTAACACATCGCAATCATTAAGGATCAGCATTTCTGATTCATAATCCCTGCTAGCACTGAAGATTAAAGCATTCCCATTCCACGCTAATTTCACTGGGTTCCCTTGATGTAAAACCCACGTCTGGTCACATCCTAACTGCACAAAGTGAAAGTGTGACTGGTTCTGTAAAAAAATATATATAAACTGTAAATGCCTTATCTCATAATAATGATAATCTGACTTAATGACAGCCGTTGAGTCATTTAAAAACAAGTTACATAGAGAAAATATTATAAGCCGTTTAATAAGACATTATAAAGGCTCATCCGTGCTTATAACAGGAAATAAAACATTATAACTGTCCGCTTTAAGTAAAGTGTTACCAAATGTTTAAATATGTAAAACAATCCTCTGACTCCGCATACACTGTATTCAAGTGGATATTGAGACCTTTTTCTTGAGATTGCCCCCTGGTTCTTCACTGGAGTGTTTCAGAGGTGTGTCGGTCTTGTTCCCTGATGATGTCAGTGGTTCATCCTCCTTCTGGGGCTCTGCTTCACGGACCACAGATGTTTGGTGCTCTGAAGTGGTCCCATCTGACATGGAGGGCAAGTCATTTAGATCAACAGCAACCTCATGATAGTCATGCAACCACTCCTACCTTTCACATATTACTTTTTCTGATTTGCTTCCTTGTCCTGGACAACGCTGTATACATAGGGCCTTTCTGGGTAAGGTCACGTGATCAGGAAAAGCGACTGCAAGGGTATGCATATGGAACAGTCTAAATTGGATTCTTGGGGCTTCCAACTCTGACATCACCCCATTGAAGTTGAAATTTAAAAAAAAAGGTTAAGGTTAGGATAAGGCGATATTCTGACTTAATGGCAGCCATTGTGAGTCATTTCAAAACGAGGTTAGGGTAAGGGTAGAGGTTTAGCGTAGGGACGTCCCAAGGAATCCCGGATAGCAATAACCGTATGCATACTCCTGGCCATAGATATGGATACTGTATGGCAGGGGTTCTCAAACTCAGGGCCGGCGTTATGGGCGGGCCTTAGGGGGGCGTGGCCAGCCCTACCGTACCTCCTGGCCCGTTCAAATAAAATGGTTGAATGAAAAATATATATACAGTTGAAGTCAGAAGTTTACATACACCTTAGCCAAATACATTTAAACTCAGTTTTTCACAATTCCTGACATTTAATCCTAGTACAAATTCCCTGTCTTAGGTCAGTTAGGATCACCACTTTATTTTAAGAATGTGAAATGTCAGAATAATAGTAGAGAGAATTCTTTATTTCAGCTTTTATTTCTTTCATCACATTCCCCAGTGGGTCAGAAGTTTACATACACTCAATTAGTATTTGGTAGCCTTGCCTTTAAATTGTTTAACTTGGGTCAAACGTTTCAGGTAGCCTTCCACAAGTTTCTCACAATAAGTTGGGTGAACTTTGGCCCATTCCTCCTGACAGAGCTGGTGTAACTGAGTCAGGTTTGTAGGCCTCCTTGCTTGCACACGCTTTTTCAGTTCTGCCCACACATTTTCTATAGGATTGAGGTCAGGGCTTTGTGATGGCCACTCCAATACCTTGACTTTGTTGTCCTTAAGCCATTTTGCCACAACTTTGGAAGTATGCTTGGGGTCATTGTCCATTTGGAAGACCCATTTGCGACCAAGCTTTAACTTCCTGACTGATGTCTTGAGATGTTGCTTCAATATATTCACATAATTTTCCTTCTTCATGATGCCATTTATTTTGTGAAGTGCACCAGTCCCTCCTGCAGCAAAGCACCCCCACAGCATGATGCTGCCACCCTCGTGCTTCACGGTTGGGATGGTGTTTGTCGGCTTGCAAGCGTCCTCCTTTTTCCTCCAAACATAACGATGGTCATTATGGCCAAACAGTTCTATTTTTGTTTCATCAGACCAGAGGACATTTCTCCAAAAAGTACGATCTTTGTCCCTATGTGCAGTAGCAAACCGTAGTCTGGCTTTTTTATAGCGGTTTTGGAGCAGTGGCTTCTTCCTTGCTGAGCAGCCTTTCAGGTTATGTCGATATAGGACTCGTTTTACTGTGGATATAGATACTTTTGTACCTGTTTCCTCCAACATCTTCACAAGGTCCTTTGCTGTTGTTCTGGGATTGAGTTGCACTTTTCGCACCAAAGTACGGTCATCTCTAGGAGACAGAACGCGTCTCCTTCCTATGACGGCTGTGTGTCCCATGATGTTTATACTTGCGTACTATTGTTTGTACAGATGAACGTGGTACCTTCAGGCGTTTGAAAATTGCTCCCAAGGATGAACCAGACTTGTGGAGGTCTACAGATTTATTTTTTATTTTTTTCCCATGATGTCAAGCAAAGAGGCACTGAGTTTGAAGGTAGGCCTTGAAATACAGCCACAGGTACACCTCCAATTGACTCAAATGATGTCAATTAGCCTATCAGAAGCTTCTAAAGCCATGACATCATTTTCTGGAATTTTCCAAGCTGTTTAAAGGCACAGTCAACTTAATGTATGTAAACTTCTGACCCACTGGAATTGTGATACAGTGAATTATAAGTGAAATAATCTGTCTGTAAACAATTGTTGCACAAAAAATACTTGTGTCATGCACAAAGTAGATGTCCTAACCAACTTGCCAAAACTATAGTTTGTTAACAAGAAATGTGTGGAGTGGTTGAAAAACGA